TACCCAGCTATTCCCTTATCATCTTATAAGGGGGCAGCTACTTGTTCCTTAGTATAATTTCCTTTGTTCTTTTCTTCCAAAAAAAGAGAGATGATCAGTTTCTTGGTCTTTTACGTTGGTGTTCATTCAGTGTAGGGACTCTGCTGCGATCAAAGAGTTGTGTATGACAGAGCAGCAGAATATATTTGTTGAATTCATAGAGATACAAGGTTTTATTTTGTAGGTTTAATGTTTTCAGCAGTTCGTTGTGGCACTTAAGAGCATAACATCAACAACATGCACAGTTTTCTTGAATACCTGGGTATGAATTTGGGAACCAAAATATTATCTGTAATTGCTTCTGTATGTGTATGTTTCCATGTTCTTGGATATAATCTGTATTCTTTTGAAATCATTACTGGATTGTGGTTTTCTTGATGAGAGAATTCCATGAACTGTTTGTATGTGTTCCTTTATCTTCTCCTTGAGAATAGATTCTTGTATTAGCAACCAAGTTCATATTTGGTCTGCTTCTCCCACTTTTGTCCTAGCTTGGGAGGGAGGGTAGACAGGAAAGAGATAGAGACCCAGGAGACTCCCATATGGTGAGCAGAAGCCCAGCAGATCAGATTGGACAAGAATGTTAAAATACAAACATCTTTTTGCCAGTGTATTTGAGTGTTGAATTTTATGAATGGGAGCAGATCTAAATTCCATCTTAAACCATACCGTGGACAGTGCTAGTGGGTCGTGTCCGTCCCCCGTCTTCCCCCCCGTCCCCCGTCTTCCCCCGTACAAAAGGAAGCGGCAAACAATGGCAGCCACACCTTTGTCTTCCTGCTTTTACATTCTTTGTCTGCATGGTACAGAGCTAAAATAATTGACAGTTCACATTTTAGCTTTTCTTATCAAAATTGTCCTTTTTTTGCCATCTGTTCCACAGTCTCACCACTGCCCTGAAGTTGCACTTATTGATACCCATGATCACTTAGAAGGACATGAACACATTGTAGCCAAGGCCATCCTTTAGTTTTAGCTAAAAGTAAAATAAATCAAATCCTGGAAATGAAAACAGACATTTTCATCTGTTGGAATAAAGACTTCTTTTAGTGTGGCTTCCTAAAGAAGGGAGGCTTATGGGGTTGAGCCATTTGTCCATCTGCTTTTCAGTTCATCCTTAATTTTTGAACAATATCATCCAGATTTGACAGGGAATAAAAATCTCAAAGGTTATTAGTTTCCTACAAGAAAACTGATGGCTGGGTGGAGGAGAGAGACAAAAGTAGGTGTCCCCACTGTTTGCAGCATAATCTTAATAGTCTGTGCTTAGGCTTTTCCTAGCCAAGTTGTGTGTACTGACTGCCTAGGTACTGCAGTAACCTCAGAGTTTGCAGAGCATGATACTGAGCATCACTCAGGCAGAAGCTGAGGGGCCATGAAAAGGAGACAAAGGGCATAGGGGATGTTTCTGGGGAACTGAGAATTTTAGGGAAAGGATGAAATCAATGGGAAATTTGGGCCATTGGAGCTATAAGTAGTTTTATGAGTGATGGACCAACTTGCTTTCAGATTCCATACAGTACTGCTGCAGTTTGTTGATCTCTGACTTCTTTTGTCTGTCAAGGGTAGATCTGTGGTGTTTGCCTGGCTGTGAAATAACAAGAACGGAAAAAAGCATTTACATTGTGCTCAGAGAAACTCGGCATTTGAAAGTAGAGCTGAACAGTTACTTTGGCAATGTTTTATTCACCCAAAATGCTGTTTTAAGCTAGACAGGACAAGCTGTGAATTTAGATGGAATTAACCCAATAGTTTCTGCCAGGGAAAAAACAGAGAACAATGCTGGAAAATACACTTCCATAATATTTTGTTTTTCCAGGCACAAGTCATTAGTTGAATGAGCACTTTTAACAAAATCAGGATGGAAAATGTGTGTGTGTGTGTGGTGGTGTGTGTGACCCCTGGGGGGGGGGCCTGTTTGCCTGGAATGTAGGAGCTCTGCATTTGCAGCACTTTCTGCAGGAACATGAATTTGTACAACCAAATTCATTACGTGAATCACTTGCAAAATCTCTTCCTATCTTTTGCATTTGACAGAAGTAAGGCATTGGACTTGTACATGCATTTGGTAAAATATTCATATTCCTGCATCTGTGGTGACTGTGGGAAGGAACCACCACCTGGAATTATTCATTGCCTGTGTCTTCAGTTTGCGTTGGTTTCAAAGAAAACTTGTCCTGGGCAAATGCTGGAGGTCTTGCGCGTACTTGCAGTCATGAGTCAGTGACAACCTCATGCTATTATTGTAAATAGCAACATGAACACTGTTCTTGCATGCTTTTTTTTTTCATGGCCTTTGTCTTTCTCTCCCAATGCTCCAGCCAAGGAATTTACAGAGCTTCTGAGTCAGCAATCAGCTGCCTCGAGACGAAACATGCTGGATACTGCAGGCTTGCAGAATAGCCAGTAAGGCACACAAATACCCTGGATACCTGGCAAATAAATCTTGCCTGCCCTTGCTTTCCTCCTGTAATTTCCATGTTCTCTGACATGTTGCTCATGGGTTCCAAGCGCTTTGGGTGTTTACATCAGGAATGCAGAGTTATGGGGAGGGACTTGCTGTGGTGACTGAAGCCTCAGTATTTGACCTGTGGGCATAACTGACTTCACAGCCTGTGTGAAATGGGTTGTTGGCAGAACTGCTGTATTAATGTGCCGCTTGGGTTGTGCTGCATAAAATTACCTGCTTTTGCAGGTTTGTTTCTTGGCTTGGCAAACCTTGTACACAAAGCAGGAAGTTCCTAGAATGAAAGTAGGCTGGATTTTAACTACGGGATCTTTCTTGAGCAGTGCAGAAAGAGTGCTTCTTCACGTCTTTGAAAAAGTACAATAGAAGCAAGAGTAAGAAATAAAACCTATGTTGTACTTACATCTAGATATATCAGTAATGGACTGCGGACTAACAGCCTTAAATTGCCACTCCACTTAATTTAGGTCATATAACTTCAATTTTTTTGTTTCCTTAGGAAGTGTCAGTCACCTGAAGCACTGGTATAAAGTGAGTGTTTGGGTGGTAGTGGAGTGCAAGATGTGGAGGAAACACAAAGTGGTATTAAACTTTAAGGGTTGTGGTGATTGAGGCATGTAGTGTAATAAAAACACAATAAAATACCTACAGCTTAATACATCACACTGAATTTGCTCCTTCAGTGTAAGAGCTGATATATTAGAGCTCTTTATAACATTCCTAAGAGCAGAAGAGGAGATACAGGCACAGTGTCTTAGACCTCTCATGGAGTGCAGTGGTTACCCTGAGCTGCGAGTCTGAAGCAAGTTTCCAGCTTCACAAGAGTGAAGTTAAGATTAAAAATAAGGAAAGTAGTTTCATCCTGCTTAGTGAGCAGTACTGATACGGACATGGCATCGCTATCAGCCAGTTAGAAAACCAGCTTCATGTGTCCTGAGGCATCTGAGGCAGTTGTCCTAATAAAGTCAGAATCGCACTCTCCAGTATAACCCATTGTTGTACTGTGGTTTCTGTAAGAAATATTATTTTTAATAACAAACAATTTATGGCTGTATATAGTGGTTTCCAGGCCTCCTTTGCTATTTCTAAACATAAGCAATAAATACCTTGTTAGGTTGAAATGCAGGAGTGCCCAAATAAACTGCTGCAGAACTGTTATGCAGGAGGGGAAGAGACATGAGCTGTAATGTTTTACTTGGCTTCCTGTCTGCTGAGAGCAGGAAAAGAGCTGGTGAGAATCTAAAAGGTTTTATCCAAGTCTGCATGTTTCCCTTTTTCTTGCCTTAATACCCTTTGCAAAAAAAGCCCCAACAAAGGACAAAAAGCAACTCAAATGCTTTCATTTCCATAGTTCCCACATACGTTCCCATGCAGCCCTCCTATCTGAAGACAAACAGAAGTGCTCTTTCTTTGAGAGCAGAGTCTTATGTATAAGAGGAAGAAAGAGGTTTATTATATATGAGAGAGAGGGAGAGAAAGTATCTATTCTTCAAACAAAATCTGCTATTTGTGACACAGTTCTGTAGGTCTTCAGGCTGCTTCTGAGGGATCCCAGAAACCAACTGAGACTAACAGACCTTCTCTTAGCATATTTAATCTGCTGAGGATCCCAACTGCCACCTAAAACTTTGTAGGGACCTGCTTATTGAAAGAAGTTGAAAGCCACAGACTAGAGGAGGCACTCTGAGAATCTCACAAGAATCAGCCACATTTCACTCTAACACTGCTTATTACCAACAGGAATACATGCACAGGCTCTAGGTAAGACAGATGCTTATACTGCTTGATGCAACACAAATAGGTTTGGGTTTTTTTTTCCTTTCTTCAGTCTTGACATCTTTTCTTAACTTTGATTGCTCTCAGCAGGTTTAAATTCTTCCTAGTGTTGCAGAAACCATCACTGGGTTTGTTGTGTCACTGTACAAAAGCAGTGTTTGCAAGGGCTCCAATGGAGGTATCAGCTTGTGCCATACCAACCTTTTTTTCTTCTCTATTTATCATGAGCAAAGACACATTTTCTTTTAGGCTGAAAGAGCCAAAACTTATTTTACTGGTGGAAAACGAACTGCTTTATACTTTGTGGTGGTAGTGTTTTTTAAGACAAGCATGTAACCTTTACTGTGGTGTTACCACAGTGACTGTTACAGTAGTAAGTCTGCATATTTATTTTTTTTAAACATCCACCTATTTCCAGCCATCGCACAACATCTGCCAGTTTAACTTCTCTGTTGTTCATGTGAAATCAGTTCAGATGAAACTGTCTTGGGACTGGCTCAGGTTAAAGCATTTTGTGATTTAACAGAGGTGGCATGCTCTGCTGTCTGAGGTTCAGTGAGCTTCAGAAGGCTCTGCTTCAGTCAGCGTGGGTAGGTTTGACTGACTTAGGGCTGATGTGTTACTAGTTCCTGAGAATCTGGGCTCTCAGTTCAGCAGGCTTAGAAAAAAATTTGAAAAGAAAAAAAGCAGGCTCAGTTACATCTTTTTTATTTTATAGGTTAATAATGCTCATAAGCCAGAGGTGAAAGTGGCTCAGCAGACCAACATCGGGAAATCTGGCACACTGGAAGACAGCAGCTGCCCCTCAGGGCAGCTGCCAAGTGTGAAGCATGGAGGAAAGTAAGAATGAGAAGGTGAACCAGGCTCACGTTCTCTTTGACAGATTTGTCCAGGCTTCAACCTGCAAGGGGACTCTTAAGGCTTTCCAAGAGCTCTGCGACTACCTAGAACTAAAGCCCAAGGACTATCGTTCTTTCTACCACAAACTCAAGTCCAAGCTCAATTACTGGAAAGCCAAAGCCTTGTGGGCAAAATTGGATAAAAGAGGCAGCCATAAGGACTATAAGAAGGGGAAAGCATGCGCCAACACGAAGGTAAGAGATCTGTTCACAGTCGTCAAGACAACTATTACCCCATTTGTCTCTGGAGTACACAATGTCTTGATGTAGAAAGATGTTTGATTGGTGCCAGTATAATCAGTATAAGATATGGGAATGCTCTCACACATGCTATTTATAATATAGTCGTGATTTGTTAGCACTTGACTTTTTTTTTGCTACTACTAAATTTGACTGCCAGCCTGAATAGGGGAGGTTAAATGGAAATTCTTGGGAATGACCAGAATGTTTGTAATTCAGTGGGAAGCAGCCTGCAAGTTTCAATGTTTTACGTTTCTATGGCATTAATACTACAGATGCCTGGAAAATCTTAATTGGTAAACCTTGAATCTTGGTAGGCTTTTCTTTTTATTTTTCTTTTTTTTTTTTTTACTAGACAATAACAGGCATATGAAAATTGCTGTTGGAATCTAGGTACAAAATATGTGTGTTTGGAAATTCCCAACTTTAATTTGAAAATTCTCATGACTCTCTCAAGAAACGAGAACTTTCCTGCCAATTTGGCAAAGTACTCTATTTTCTATTAAAAAGGCAGTCATTTGTATTCCGTGTTCAGAGAAGAAAAAAAAAAAAAATGCTGTGGAAACTTGTATCAGTTCCTTTTAACAGATTGGTATGTGTGGTATTTACTGCAGCAGTTCCTGCTTTTACATACACACCCTACTTTTTTCTTTAACCAGGATTATTGTGGGCTGGTATTTATGTGCTGCACCCTTGTTGGACTGCATGTTATGAACTTATTTATTTGTTTTGTTGTAACTGAAAGCAGTTCTTTATATCATTCATAAAAATGTGAATGGAATAGGTTATTTCTGCAAATAATCATACACTCTTTTAAAAAAAGGAAAATGGTATGGGATATGATAAAATTAGAACAGGATTCTGGCCACCTCCATTGAAGACAACAAATGCTGCTTCTTCTCTTGAATATTCATCCTTAGGAGAAGGAAGTATCTTAATAGGAGGAATTAATGACTAATTCCTTAATAGAAAACTGAGGGGAGGGAATATATCCTGTTTCAGTTCTGCCAGTCATTTCAGATCTGTTTACTGAAGTTTAGTTTCCAGCTAGATATTAGAACCTTAAGTTAGTTTCTTGATTGTTTATTCTGTTGGACTTCCTGGTGGCCATTTTCATATGGATGGTGGTATTTGTTATTGACTACAATAACACTTGGAAAAATCAGTAATGGGCCAAGGTGCACTTGTTCAACGTCTTGTAAAGATAACACTTTCCTCAAAGTTTACAGTGGGTACATCAGATGAAAGGTAACAGTGCATATAGATTAACTTGGAAAACATTACAACAGTTGGGCACCTCTGGTAATCACAGTGGGCAGTAGCTGCAACACTGCAGAAGTCCAGCCACTGTTAAGGTTTATGGTTTTCAGACAGGATAAGAAAAGAAGGGCTTACAGGAAGTTAAATGTATTGATTTTTGTCTACATTTAGGAATAAACTTTCTGAGCACTATGTGAACATCATGGAGACAAATTCAAAACTCTTTTCCTGAAAACTGACTGCACTTTTTTATTCATTGTATTGAGGAATTTATTTTGAATGAAATGTGATGGGTACAACTGAAATAGGGTGTTAAAGGCTGTGAAATGAAGGCAGGTGGCTTGTGTTTTAATAAGAAGGAGACTCAGAAAGCTCTGAAAAAATGAAGAGGTATTTTAACTTATTTGAAGTAATAAACCAAAAGAATGATTTTTGCATCTGGGCTCTGAATGTATCTTAGTGGGCAAGACTGTGTTTGCTACCACTGAAGAAAAGGTTGCTTTGATAATAGAGATGCAACATGAAAGAAGAGATTTAACGGAAAAATGAGTGATTTGGGTAGTGCTTGATTACGAGGACATTAAAAAAAAATTAATAAAAAAGGAGAAGATATGAGTGGAGGTTTGACACCCAGCTACAAAAGAGCATAAAGGAAAAGAGGGAGAGGAATGGAGGCAAGCCAGAGAGTAATTTGCCAGTCTTTCTATGAAGCTGTTGGTGAGATGCTGTATAGAAACACAAGTAAAAAGGGTGGATGGTGAATAAATTAAAGGTAGCATCCTCCTCTGCCTCAATCCAGAAATATATAGGACTGTGGATTTGGGATTCACGCCATCTTGAGTAGTGAAATTAATATCAGAGAGAAAGTGATATTTGGTTAAAATATACTTATTTTTATTAGCATGTGTTAAAAAATATATGCCTGTGATAATAAATATTTTTGTATATGTAAACTTTGTTGAAATCTTTAATGTAAATAAATTATAAATATATGTATTCTTTATGTATTTTTCACATATGCTTCTGTTAATTACTCGTTTCCTATCCTAGTAGTGTCTGCCATTAAGTTTATATGTAATTCTGAAGAGATAATCATAACTATTCAAAATAGAAGCCTTTTGTAAAACTGAATAATACTTTATCTAGGAAACTAGCTCACTTAGTTTTATATTCGTAATGTTTAAAGTAATTTGCAAAACACTGATTAAAAATACAAACATTTAAGTGGGCATGTGGAGGTGATAGAATTTAAAATAAGGATTAAGGTTTTAGCCATGTTATCAGAACAGAATTCAGTCATTTCTTTAGGAAGCTCAGCTTCTCTACACTTGAACATATACCAGTTTTGAAGTTTGCATTCTCTGTAGCATACCCCTTATCTGCCCATTTAAAAATCAGTCAGGGATGAAGTGCTGTGACTGGTGTTGGGCAGTTAGTGCCTCACATGGCCAGCGTCCAGATTAACCAGAGTTCCGATAGTCAGCATTCATGAAAGCAAGGCTTGGATGTGATGGGCTGTTCAAATGTAAATAGTTACAAATGGTGCTCTCTCTTCATTGGTTATACAGAGATTACAGGATTTCAGTTTGCATTTAATGTTCCATTACCATGGTGGTGTTACTGGAAACTTCATATAATCAGTCTGAGAGATCTTGAGCAAGAAGTGTTTCTTGAGGGGTAAGACAGTTTTAGTGCATGAAGTTGCAGCAGTTGTTCGTTGTCATTGCAGGAAAGGGAACAAGGAGCAACAGAAGCTGTTGCCTTTATTTACTTGGCTGTACTTGACATCCTATGTAGTTACTGCTGCCTGTGCGAGTATCAGAAGTAGGTTTCTGTGAGAGATCTGCAGCTGGAAGAAGCGCGAAGAAGGTGGAAAAGGGTGCAGAATCTTCCGGTTTTAATTGTGCTTAAATCTCACTGTGTTTTATAACAACATAATTAATAGTTTTGTGGTGCTTAAAAAAGGCAACTTTTACCGTGAGTTATTTCACTGAGTATCGCATATTTTACATCAGGGGTCTTGAACATAACCTGCATGTTGTTTACCACATCCTTGTGTGTGGGGAAGGTTGTAGAGGAAAAAAATATTTACATTTCTGTGACAAAATTGCAGGCAAATAATTTATAATTTGATTATGCAGCCATGAGTTTGAATAGGCTGATTTTAGTACAATTCCTTTGCTGTTGTGTACTGCATCATATCTACTTCATATGAGTAAAGTCATCAGAAGAATTAAAATCACTCAACTCAGTGAGATCTTGTTGCTTATGGAACCCAGTCTCTTTGAAAATTGTAGCTGTCAGACAAGCAAAATTGCTACCTGGAAAAATGATACACTCAGCTCATTTTCTTAGAAGTTAAAAAAAAGAAAGATGTAAGTGGTGTTTGAGAGTTATACTTACCTATAAAGAAAGCAATATTAAGTTGGAAGAATATATTAGATCTTAATTGATGACCCTCTTTAACAAATGGTAAGTTGGGACACATGTTCAATATGCAAGTCTATTTAGGAATTTAATAGCTCAGTGGTTGGGCTTGCCTTTTCTCCTGTATGCCTTCAGGTTGCTGAACCTACTAAAGAAGCAGTGCTGTTATTCTACCCTTCCCTTTCCTCAGGGCTTGGATCTTTGCCCTCAGATGTACGTGACATCTCATACAGTAGCCATACTTTGAATTCACGTGTCAGTTGTTATGTTGTCACTGCTGTAACTGGACTGTTTTATTCATCATTCAGACTTCATATTTGCAGTTTCACATAATTTGCAAAATTTATTCCCCAGAAATAAAACTGGTGCAAATGTGGCAACCTGTAAAAACTGGCATTTGGGAATGACCAACAAAGAAAGAGCTTTGCTTTGGAACAGGCTGATTATCAGAAGGTTGGGTTCTGATTAAGTTTTAGCATACTTCAGATTTTCTCAGAGCTTTGCTGTCCAGCCATAAGGGTATTTAAGGATCTGGAAAATACTCACATGGCAGCAGCTGTCGCCACTGTAGCAAGGTCTTTATTCTGGTGGTCTGTTTTATAGAATCATAGAATATTTAGGGATGGAAAGGACCTTAAGATCATCTAGTTCCAACCCCCCTGCCATGGACAGGGACACCTCACACTAAATCATCTCACCCAAGGCCTCGTCCAGCCTGGTCTTGAACACTGCCAGGGATGGAGCATTCGCAGCCTCCCTGGGCAACCCGTTCCAGTTCCTCACCACCCTAACAGGAAAGAATTTCCTCCTTATATCCAACCTAAACTTCCCCTGTTTAAGTTTTAACCCGTTCCCCCTTGTCCTGTCTCTACAGTCCCTAATGAAGAGTCCCTCCCCAGCATCCCTATAGGCCCCCTTCAGATACTGGAAGGCTGCTATGAGGTCTCCACGCAGCCTTCTCTTCTCCAGGCTGAACAGCCCCAACTTCCTCAGCCTGTCTTCATACAGGAGGTGCTCCAGTCCCCTGATCATCCTTGTGGCTCTCCTCTGGACTTGTTCCAACAGTTCCATGTCCTTTTTATGTTGAGGACACCAGAACTGCACACAATACTCCAGGTGAGGTCTCACAAGAGCAGAGTAGAGGGGCAGGATCACCTCCTTTGGCCTGCTGGCCACGCTCCTTTTGATGCAGCCCAGGAGACAGTCGGTTGGCTTTCTGGGCTGCAGGCACACACTGAAGCCGGCTCATGTTCATATACTCAATAGAAACCAAAGTATAAAAATGGTATAACAGAATAGACTGGTACTATATTCCTGTGAATGCACATACCCATTCCAGCTTGCTTTGTGTTATTTCAGTTTTTGTGGGTAAGAAGTGCCAACTGACTATCTTGGCTTTTTTATCTTAAAAGTAATGATCTTGCTGTACACTTTGTTTCTCTGACTCTGTATGTTTACATTCTGAGGTTGTTTAATAGCCTCTGATAGTGTTTGTGGGTAGAGTGGAAAAAGATAGGAGATGAAAGTCCTTTGATATGACAAATGTTCAGTTGGAGAAAACATTTTGATAAAAGTTATCTAGTCACACAAAGTTTGTAGTTACATTATTTTTGCTTTCCTGAGGTTTTCCTTTGCTGCCATAGAAGCGCCAGTGTAGGCGTAAGTTAGATGCTCTGACTTAACTCCTGACTGTGCTACTCCAAATGATGACATTTTTAAAAATATTAGCATCTCATGTATTTATCTGACATAGCCATTGCTATGCTTCTCACTGGTGATGAGGAATTTTTACTATTCATAGAATCATAGAATAGTTAGGGTTGGGAAGGACCTTAAGATCATCCAGTTCCAACCCCCCTGCCATGGACAGGAACACCTCACACTAAACCATATCACCCAAGGCTTCGTCCAACCTGGTCTTGAACACTGCCAGGAATGAAGCATTCGCAACCTCCCTGGGAAAACCATTCCAGTGCCTCACCACCCTCACAGGAAAGAATTTCCTCCTTGCATCCAATCTAAACTTCCCCTGTTTAAGTTTTAACCTGTTACCCCTTGTCTTGTCACTACAGTCCCTAATGAAGAGTACCTCCCCAGCATCCCTATGGGCCCCCTTCAGATACTGGAAGGCTGCTATGAGGTCTCTACGCAGCCTTCTCTTCTCCAGGCTGAACAGCCCCAACTTCCTCAGCCTGTCTTCATACGGGAGGTGCTCCAGTCCCCTGATCATCCTCGTGGCCCTTCTCTGGACTTGTTCCAACAGTTCCATGTCCTTTTTATGTTGAGGACACCAGAACTGCACACAATACTCCAGGTGAGGTCTCACAAGAGCAGAGTAGAGGGGCAGGATCACCTCCTTCGGCCTGCTGGTCACGCTCCTTTTGATGCAGCCCAGGATACGGTTGGCTTTCTGGGCTGCAAGTGCACACTGAAGCCAGCTCATGTTCATTTTCTCATCGACCAGCACCGATCTCTTCTCTGCCCAACCTGCAGCTGTGCCTGGGATTGTTCCGACTCAGGTGTAGGAGCTTGCACTTGGCATGGTTAAACTTCATGAGGTTGGCATCAGCCCACCTCACAAGCGTGTCAAGGTCCCTCTGGATGGCATTCCTTCCCTCCAGGGTATCAACTGAACCACACAGCTTCGTGTCATCGGCAAACTTGCTGAGGGCGCACTCAATCCCTCTGTCCATGTCAGCGATGAAGATGTTGAACAAGACCGGTCCCAACACCGATCCCTGAGGGATGCCACTCGTTACTGGTCTCCAGCCGGACATTGAGCCATTGACCACAACTCTTTGTGTGCGGCCATCCAGCCAGTTCTTCATCCACCGAGTGGTCCATCCATCAAATTGATGTCTCTCCAATTTAGAGACAAGGATGTCGTGTGGGACAGTGTTGAACGCTTTACACAAGTCCAGGTAGATGACATCAACTGCTCTACCCCTGTCCATCAGTTTTGTAGCCCCATCGTAGAAGGCCACCAAATTGGTCAGGCAGGATTTCCCCTTAGTGAAGCCATGCTGGCTGTCACCAAGCACCTTGTTGATTTTCATGTGCCTTAGCATGCCTTCCAGGAGAATCTGCTCCAAGATTTTGCCAGGCATTCCTGAAATTTTTCTCAAGAAAGGTCAGCTTAGTCTTTGGAAGATGAGAGATGGATGGAATCAGGGAGGGAGAAACCTTCAGAATTACTGCTGTTCCCCAGCTGCATACATAGCTTGGAGACTATGCCTTGGCAGCTCTTCTTAAAGCAAAGATTGCAAATGGGCAGTTTACCTGCCTGTTTCTGCAAACTTTGCTGCTGTAATATGCTTTATTTTCATGTTGTGGTTACAGCTTTTATGTATTAGTGGGAAAACATAGCAGGTAACAATGGAAGTACATGGTAGGTAGCAATGGGAAGACATGAACTTTCAGCTTATGTTGCAGACAAAGAGCACTTAGTCCAAAGAGCTGTGGATGCTTGGAACCTATGTGTCGTGGTTTAAACCCAGTCAGGTAATTCGTTCGCTCACTTCCCCCCCTTTTTCTTGCCCTCCCCCTGCTCTCGGAGGGATGGAGAGGAAAATCGAAAAGAATGCAACTCCCACAGGTTGAGATAAGAACAGTTTAGTAACTAAGGTATAACACAGATCACTACTGCTACCACCAATGATAATAATGATAAAGGAAATAACAAGGGAAGAGAATACATCATCTCACCACCAGCCGACCGATAACTCGCCCCCCCAGCCCGACCAAGCTCTGACCGATACCTCCTCCAACCCTGCCGTCTCCCGGCCCTTCCGGCTAACTCCCAATTACATCCTGGGCATGACGTGCTGTGGTATGGAATACCTCTTTGGTCAGTTTGGGTCAGGTGTCCTGTCTCTACTTCCTCCTGGCTTCCCCTCCTCCCTGGCAGAGCATGAGGCTCACAAAGTCCTTGGCCAAACCAAAACATCGCTTGTTATCAGCTCTGTTCCCGAGCTGAAAGTCAAAACATTGCACTGCACCAGCTACCAAGAAGGGGAAAAATGACTGCTACTGCTGAACCCAGGACATTATCCACCCCTTATTCCATACCATTCACGTCATGCTCAGATCCCATATTTTCAATACACTCTTATCTTAGTGCTTAGACCAGTCCCTATAAAGCTGCTGAGTCCATCTGGTCCATGATGTCAGGCTCCATCTCTTGTAATAGTCTTCCAGAGCAGGAGAGACTGTGTGCAGTGTTCACACTCGTGAATAACCTGGGCAATAGTGTCCATTGCTAAGTCCACCCCTCGATCATGAGTCCATCTTTCTGTTGCATCTCTGCTCTGATGGCCTGAAGTGCCATGGGCCCACCAGGCTTAAAATAATTCACTGTCCCCTTAAGCAGTTTCTGCAGCTTGTTGCTGGGGACTCCATACAGCTGCCTTCCATCTCCGATGCTTCCAAAGCACTGGAGGGGCCCAGTGGACTAGATACTTGCCCATACTGTCCCACACACCCTGCCACTCATCACTGTCCAGCCTTGGAGAAAACCTTTTGGTCCCCCTATATCCTCGTCTAACCCCAGACAAGACCCAAACCTGACTCTGCTTAACTTTTGAGATCAGACAAAATGGTTGTGGGTAGAACACAGCCTGTGTGTGTGCCAACATGCTGATCCCCATCACAATCAGCAGGCAGGTCCCAAGGACACCCAAAGGCCATTCAAAACCTTCAGAACTCTCAAACGATGCTGCTGTACTTGTCACTGGGGCTGGTGTAGCTGCTGTGCTTGCCGGCTCTCCCACCATCAGCTTCTCTTTTCCTGAGTCCAGCTCTTCCTCCTCTGCCTTGCTGGGAAATGCTGCGTGGTCTCCTGCATCCTCCTGGGGCTCGGCGGGCGGCTTCCGGGAAACGCTCTCGGCTGTCGCGGGGCTGGGCTCCGCCGCGGGGCTCGGCTCCTCCGCGGGGCTCGGCTCTCCCGCGGGGCTCGGCTCCTCCGCCGCCTTCTCCCGCTGCTCGGCAGCCGCTTCCTTCTGCTCCTCGATCTCCCCGACCTCCTCCACCGGCAGCCGTCCCCTCGCGGCCTCCGGCCCCGCTCCCGCCGCCGCTTGCTCCCCGGGGCCGCTCTCCCGGGCCGGTTCGGCTGCCGCCGGCTCACGGGGCCGCTCCCCCTCGGGTCCCCGCAGCCTCACAAAGATGGAGAGTAGGGTGAGGGCCAGGACGGTGAAGAGCAGCCGGACGGCCAGGTACAAGTCCACGGCCACGTCCGTCCCGCCCTGCTGCTGGAGCCCGCCCGTATTACAAGCCATTGCCATAAAGCACAGTGAGACAAGAACCTTAGCCCAGGCCCCATACTTGATAAACACTATCACAGCAAATACCGGCTCTACGTAAGTTACAACATTCTGAAGCTGTGAGATCAAGCAAAACAACTCTGAGACCCAATAAATCAGCATTGTGACGAGTGACTATTAATCCAGTCAGATCTGTCGTTATCTCAACCCTTCGTGCCCCACGTTGGGCGCCAAAAAGAACTGTCGTGGTTTAAACCCAGTCAGGTAATTCGTTCGCTCACTTCCCCCCCTTTTTCTTGCCCTCCCCCTGCTCTCGGAGGGATGGAGAGGAAAATCGAAAAGAATGCAACTCCCACAGGTTGAGATAAGAACAGTTTAGTAACTAAGGTATAACACAGATCACTACTGCTACCACCAATGATAATAATGATACAGGAAATAACAAGGGAAGAGAATACATCATCTCACCACCAGCCGACCGATAACTCGCCCCCCCAGCCCGACCAAGCTCTGACCGATACCTCCTCCAACCCTGCCGTCTCCCGGCCCTTCCGGCTAACTCCCAATTACATCCTGGGCATGACGTGCTGTGGTATGGAATACCTCTTTGGTCAGTTTGGGTCAGGTGTCCTGTCTCTACTTCCTCCTGGCTTCCCCTCCTCCCTGGCAGAGCATGAGGCTCACAAAGTCCTTGGCCAAACCAAAACATCGCTTGTTATCAGCTCTGTTCCCGAGCTGAAAGTCAAAACATTGCACTGCACCAGCTACCAAGAAGGGGAAAAATGACTGCTACTGCTGAACCCAGGACACTATGGTAAAAATGCCTGTTTCCTCCTAGGACTGTAAAGTTACTCTGTGCTGGTTGTTTTGCAGTGTCTGATAATTGGGGCTGGACCCTGTGGCCTTCGTACAGCCATTGACCTGTCGTTCCTGGGAGCCAAGGTGGTGGTCATAGAGAAGAGGGATGCCTTTTCCCGCAATAACGTGTTGCATTTGTGGCCATTCACCATACATGACTTGAGGGGTCTTGGCGCCAAAAAGTTTTATGGCAAGTTCTGTGCAGGATCCATAGACCATATCAGTAAGTACAGCTACTGCTAGACACAGCAGGACTTGTTCTTCACAGGGGAAAAGAAGGGGGGGGGGGGCATGGGTTAACTCATTAAGATTTAGCCTGTGCCAGTCGTTGCTCTCAAGTCCTTATGGTACAGTTCTGCATTGTTACCTTTGCATTGTGCTTTTCAGCCTATACCTAGATATGAAAGAAATATGTTGTGTCATGAGATTTTAATAGATGTATTATCTGTTGTCTTTTATACCATTCCAAGGCATATATTTTTCCTACACTGAAAAATGGGTTTAAGATTCAAACATTTTTCTTTTTTTTTTTTTTTATTTAATGGCTAATTTTCCTGGTTTTGCTATTACATTCCTGCAGCTGCCACATTATTCTCTTGGCCTTTGTAATCAACTTGTAAAGAAGAAAAATGCTTTTGAACATTCTTGTGAATGTTGATGTGGAAAAAGGAGGAATTTTGGCTTTGTAAATTTTTGGAAGAGTGATGAAGATATTTTCAAGATCACTGTCATCTTATGAATAAGTTTTGATTAAATAGAGATTTACATATTAAAATTGAGAATAATCGTGATGATTCTCAAAATCTGCAAAATCAGTCTCCTTTGAAAGCTGAATGCTTTGTTGGAGCAGGAGTTACTACTTCTCAGTTTTTCTTTCAAGAATGGCATGGCACAGCCAGCTTTTGCTCACCAGTCTGTGTTCTCCACGGTGCTTAAAGTGACACATATGCACAGTTCTCCACTGTGCATAGAGTGGGAAGCATAAAATGACACAAACATAGTAAATAAGGTTTGATTTCTTGTCCAAAGCCAAACCTGCCCTGTTGTTGTTGTTGGCAATGAATAGTAAAACTGGAATATCTGTGGAACTTCAGTCTTGCACTTTGCTTTTTCCCCTTCCTATTTCTTATCATTTTAATTTTTCCAGTACTTCATGCATGTAGTTGTGTTTTGTATCTTAGCACAGCTGAAATTTGGTGTTCAGGCGGAATGTTTTTTCTTTCATTATCTGAAATATGACAGCAAGTTGTCTTCCTTCAAATAAACAGAGTTTGCACACTGTCATTTTCATATCCACTCCCTATCTTAACTAAAGAGGGAAGAGGCGGTGAAGAACTTAGTATGCCCTCGCAGAGCCAGAGGTGTTAGATGAAGGTGCAGTTCAGTATTACAGCTAGGCTGATCAAATGGCTTGTTGCCACCTGTGACAGAAGTGCAGTCCTGCTGGTGCTCTCTTCCCTCCCTCTGCTGCAGTGCATGTTTGGTTTGTTTCCCTTGTTGCTGATTTGGCTACTGAAACATTTAAATAATAGTTAATCTGTATTTTTTTAAAAGGATTGGGTTTTCAGCTGTATGGAAGTTTTTTGGCATGCTATGATATTACACACCAGTGCTGGCTGGCTGAAGTGCTGGGATCACAGTAGGGGAAAAAGAAAGTAGCAGCTGGCCTTACATCAGCTTGTCAGAAATGTCAGAGGCACGTGGACACTTGTGCTCTTTTCTTTTGCTTTTATTTATTTTCTGCTTTTTGCAGGTATCCGTCAGCTCCAGCTCATTCTTTTGAAGGTTGCCTTGATCTTGGGAATAGAGATCCATGTCAATGTGGAATTTCAAGGGCTTGTTTACCCTCCGGAGGATCAGGAGAATGAAAGCAAGTATCATTGAAATGGCCAGTAGAGAAAGGGGAAGTTATGGTAGGATACACAGACTCCTTAACTTACGACCTCAAGTCCTTACCTCATGCTCCATTAAAAATTAGTAATTATCAGTACACTTCGTGATTTTTCGTAGGATTTTTTTTCTAGTGACAAATCTGAATTAATTACTGTGTGAAACAAAACCACCTGAAGTACTACACCTAAGTAGACTAAGACATGGTAGGTCATAATTACTCCTAAAATAATACTTAAGCCTACTACACTTAGAAGAGACCTTTCTAAAACAACTCCTTTCCTTGCATTCACTAAAGGTATTTTGTCAGTGAATGATCCTTGTTTTGCTTCTTGTATCTTTGTGAAATCTGTTCTCTGATTGCCATGGATGGTGGTGGCTTTGTTATTTGTTTGGCATCCTATTAATTGAATAGATAGTAGAGAAGTCATAAAGGTTGTAGTGATACTTACAGGTAATAGTCAGGGGGGTTTACCAGGGGTGTCTCTGATTCACATAGAGTGACTGTGCAAGTCAGCAATAGCTCTGTCAACAGCAGTACCTGTCCTGCAGTGTATCTTTACTGACAATGTGAAGAAGGGATTATGGATACTAAGAAGTGGTTCTGTGTATTTGTCCTATTATAAACGCTGTTTATATTAACTTGGAGTTTGTTAACAGGAATAGGTTGGCGTGCATTGGTCCACCCAAAAACCCATCCAGTATCTGAGTATGAGTTTGAAGTAATCATTGGAGGGGATGGCAGGAGGAACACGTTGGAAGGTAATGGTGTATCCATAATTCACTTTGAAATAGAATTTATTCTTAAATTAGTTAGAAGAAAAATGGCCTTTACCATCCCAATCAAAATGTGGAGAGACATTTGACTAATGAAAGGGAGATGCAAAGCCCATTAAAAATCCATCTGTATCAGGCATGTGGTTGTCTTTTTTCCTCTTCTTATCCACTAGCAAAGGAATTACATGTTTTAACCTGGGTAATTTTGTCTTTATTTGAGTAGTGTTGTAGCTTTTACTTTTGAGAGTAGGAATTGAAGTGTTGAATATTGTTCTGTGTAGTAGAGAATTGTAATGGTTTTGGTGCAAGTTGCAATTTTTGGAAAAAAGGAGAGCTTTTTTTTTTTCTGATGAAGCAATTGTTGCTTTCTCTGTGGAGGAGTTTTTAATTAACCAAATCCATTCCCTCTTTTTATTTTATGAGGGCACTTGTCCTTGGCATGCTGAGCCTTCCCTGAAGGTGTGTTCTGTTTTTCAGCATTACTACTTTATCCTCCCCATAGGGTTTCGGCGAAAAGAATTCCGTGGTAAATTGGCAATTGCCATCACAGCTAACTTCATCAATCGTAACACCACAGCTGAAGCCAAAGTAGAAGAGATCAGCGGTGTGGCCTTCATATTCAACCAGAAGTTCTTCCAGGATTTGCGGGAAGCCACAGGTTTGCCAGCAATTGCCAGATTCCCAGTGAAAACTCTTTAGTTTTATTGTTGCAACTTTGTAACTTGGGTATCAAATGTAATCAATAAATGAACATTCTTGTGCAAGGAAACCAGTCATTGCTTTCTCTGAAGTTTGACTTCCCATTTTTATGGCTGTTCTGTGCAGCTGTACAAAGCAGATGTGTGTCATTCAGATATGTGTCATTTTTGTTCAGGAGTGGTGACCTTATTTCCCTGATAGTATTCAGGAAATCTGAACCCTAAATTGGAAAAGTCTGAATTTTGAGTTCAGCTTCTTGCACTCCACATCTGAATGCAAACTGTAATGACAGCTATATTTTAAAGAGGTAGCTATATACAGGTAAAATTGCTGTTTGTGGGGTTGTTGAAGATTCAGATTTTGAAGCCATCAAAAGTATGGGAGAAAGCTGCTTGGCATTCTCTCTTAGAGGCTTTCTAACCATGTACTTTCAATTCACTTTCTTCCAGTAGAGCTCTTGTGTTTTATGTAGCATGTAACTTGTCCCTTCACCACCGTGTCTTTTGTTCTGTCACAAGGTATTGACTTGGAGAACATTGTCTACTACAAAGATGATACGCACTACTTTGTCATGACTGCCAAAAAACAGAGCTTGCTGGAAAAAGGAGTGATACGGCATGTGGGTATTATCTTTTCCTATATTCTCTCTAAGATTTTTTGGAGCAATTTGCTTTCAGTATGCTGAAAGAAGGGAAAAATGCTGTTCTTCCACCATGTAGTGTTTTTATACAGGTGTATTTTAGAACAGAAATATGTGCTTAATGTGTGGTTAATGCCTGAAGTATTTTAAAACATCAGAAGAGTGTTACAAGACATATACTCTCCATTTTCTTTCTCTCTCTGTACATTTGGGGGTTTCATTCTTGTTAAGGTATGCTTAAACAGTATTTGATCATAGTTGAGCTTCCCTCATTTTATGGGAATGAACAAGCAGCAAGTGAAAAAAAAGTACTGGAAATTTACCTGTGTCTTATTCTGGTAGAAGCTGATTTAAAAGGAGTTTGGCTACAAACACATAAAGAAGGATTGGAGTCTTGTGCCTTTTGTCTAAGAAGTGTGTGATGAGAAATGCTTGTGAGTTTCTTAGCCCTTTCACAGTCAGAAATGCTTGCAAGATTGTTTTTGATTTACAGATTTTCCCTTGGAAGCATAAATATGGGTAGAAATGAAAGAAATTAGAAGACAAACTTGTATCAGTGGATTTGTCAGCATTTTAATGCCAACTACTGTATATACCACCTTTAAAATAAACTTGTGGATTTGGCTATCTCACTTTACTTTTGTGGTTTTGGCAGGATTATGCTGACACAGAGTTGCTGCTCTCACGGGAGAATGTGGACCAGGAGGCTCTGCTAAACTATGCCAGAGAAGCAGCTGACTTCTCCACTAATCAGCAGCTGCCATCACTGGACTTCGCCATCAATCACTATGGTCAGCCAGATGTGGCCATGTTTGACTTCACGTGCATGTATGCATCAGAGAATGCAGCCCTGGTTCGAGAGCAGAATGGCCACCAGTTACTTGTGGCACTGGTTGGGGACAGTCTCTTAGAGGTTTGTGTTTTAAACTTATGTTTAACAGTAAATTGGAGTGTAAACACAAGCCATAGCACCTATCACTTGAAATATGTGTTGCCTGTAGGACATTACTATAAGGGAAGCTGCTGTTTGAGGGAAGAGTGGAGTGTTGGGAAAACAGGATAATTAGGATGGTAATGTGCAAAGAAATGTGCAAAGATTGCTCTGAAGTTCTGTTTGTTTTATCTACTCCTCATTGGGATGATTAGACTCTAAAGAACTTACTGTAGACCTGTTAATAGGTTCCATTTTGTAGTTGGTAAAAAAGTACAGTCTTGAAGAGAAAGCTGTTAAGGCACTCCAGACTAGGAAGCGTTGGAAACAAAGGAACATGGGCTTTGGGGGGAGCTCATGGGCAGTTTGTCATACATCTGGCTTGTTCTAGCCCAGTGGGAGTAGACCTTTCAGCTAATTACTGAGCTATAGTTTCCCAGCAGATTACCATCTGAATATATTCTTGATATTTGTTTAAAACTTTCCCTAATTGATGCTTTTCTTTTTCTGCCCTTTTTTTTTTTTTTTTCTAAACTATAATATTAGCCATTTTGGCCAATGGGAACTGGAATAGCCAGGGGATTTTTGGCTGCAATGGACTCTGCTTGGATGGTACGAAGTTGGTCTCTTGGTGCTAGTCCTTTGGAAGTTCTCGCAGAGAGGTAATACAGCAAATCAGTGCACTTTCAGTTGTAACCTAATCCTTCAACATCTCATCATTCATTTCAGTTTCTTCTAGTACAAATAGCTAGAATGGGAGATGGATTCTCACTATTTGTATGAGAATGGTTGTGGGTATAATTCAATTGAGGAACAAATTTCCTAAGAAGGTGATAAACTGAAGTATGTTCATAGAGGAATAAGAAATGCTGCAGCTGTTCTTGGTTCTAGTTTTAAAAAGGATTAGCTGAAGAATCTTTTCTTGGTGCTTATTGGCATTGTGTGGAGGAAGTGAACCTGACTACTGTCACCATCGTTGCAATAGCAAACCAGATGAAGATAATAGGTGCCTTTAAAGTACCAGAGACAAAATTTTTATTCCATCTCCTATTATCTTATAAATATATTTAATGATGTTCTTCTAAGGAAGCTGTCACCTGCTTTTATTTCGTATTCTCCTAAATTGGTTGCTTTGTTTCGTGTAAGCTAAACAACATCTTGTCTATCTTTGGCGTATTGAGTTCTTGATGTTTTTGTCATCTTTGGTTGTGTGGTTTTTTTGGTGACCCAAAGTAATCTCTTAGAAATAAGAACTCGGGTAATTAAAAGGTAGGTTCTACTAGCTGTTGCTTTTACTTATTCTATCTTAAACATAAGCAACTGCAGCTTCAGCATCAAGAACCACAGTATAATTTTAAGAATTGCAAAAATGGCACAACAGATATTTAAAACTCCATTTGTTTGAATTTAAAAAAAATGAAGGTAACATATTTGGAGCCAGACTTCTATCACCTTTCCATTAGATGTTTTAAGAGACAGCATTAAGATCTTCCCTGAACCTTCTCTTCTGCATGCTGAACAAACCAAGCTCCCTTGGCCTCTCCTCACAGGGAAAATGCTCTAGTCCCCTTGGTGGCTGTCTTCTTGAGTTGCTTCAGTGTCTAAATGTTCTTATCGTACTGGGGAACCCTTTCAGCTTACGCTTTTAATGTATTGTTTTCTTCCCCCCTTTTGATTTCTGGAGTTGTATTAAATTGCAGATCTTAATATATGGAATCTTTAGCTATCAGTGTCTGAAGTGATTGGATTTCTGATCTGAATGGTTATATCTCCAGAATTCACTTAGCAGTGTTAGTAGTGATTCATGTCTTAAAACAAAAAACACAGACCTCCCCCAAACAAAGCAAAACCAAACACAAACAACCAAAACCACCACAAAACCTGAACCAAACCAATCAAGGCAAAACCAAAATATTTTTTTCCCTTTAATCTTGTTTTCCCAAGGGAAAGCATTTATAGGCTACTGCCTCAGACCACGCCTGAGAATGTGAGTAAAAACTTCAGCCATTACAGCATTGATCCTGCCACACGGTATCCCAATATCAACGTCAACTTCTTGCGGCCCCAGCAGGTAACTGGATGAATGGTGTTTCTGAATGCTTGTAATCTGTGGTGTCTTTGCTTCAGTAAAGCTGTACTAATGTTTTGAAAGCAGATAGTGACCTGACATTGCAGTGTAACGTGAAGTCAGTGAAAAGCGGATCTGTCAGTCAAGAGTAGGCCTCTGTACTTAGTACAAACAAGTCCTGTTTTAGGAATTCTTGATTTTGAAAGCTTTAACCATGCTGTAATGATACATTTGAGTTTGTGTGCATGTGCATTTTTTGGTGATAATCTAGTATAGCAGTCTGTCATTGCAATTGTATCCACTGTTCAGCAGTCAGCTAGACTGTTCAACACTGATGAGCTGATCGTTGTTATTCTGGGGTTCTTGGACTGGAGATTTCTGTTGCATAATAATTGTCTTCCTCCTTTGGGATGGCTCCTTGTTCTCTAGCTCTTTCTGTATGAACCTTGGGTGCATGGCATATTGGTAATTTTTAATTATTTCTGACATTTTAGGTACGCCACTTGTATAATACAGGAGACTTGAAAGACATTCACCTGGAAATAGAGAACTTTGTAAACTCCAGGACACCAAAGCTGACTCGAAATGGTAGGCATAGCTACTGTTCCTTTTGGTATTCTGGAGCTGGATCAGTGCAGCAACCATAGAGCAGCAGGGCTGTAGGGTATTATTTAACCAGGCTCTTTCATTTTAGAAATTGTATCCAGCAGTTGTTTCATCAACATTCTGGTTTTACAATCTTTCAAGTTTCCACAAACGTGTAAATATATTTTGTTTATCTAATTTCCCTTGCTTAATAATGTGGTTAAATTTCTAAGCATATTTGCTTATACAAGTATTTCTTTTCACCTCCTTTATCCTATAACAATGTCCTTACTTAGAGTGCAAAAGCCTACCTTGAATTCACTCTAACAGGAAACTCAGAATTCTTACAAACATTATAGAAGGTGTTTCTCATGCAGTCTTTCATATTCATGCTTTCCTCAATCTCATCTCTTAGCTTAACCAAATGAAGCTCACTTTGCTTGCATTATTCTGAAAGTTAGATGTCTTGTGATAAGCATTTCAGTATCTGTCTACTTGTCCTGTACCCTGAAGGCTATGTTGAACTTTTTCTTCTGCATACCTTGCCTTTGGATGCCCAGATAGTGTTTGGGGACTCTCAGAATAGTGCTTTGCTTCTAAGCCTCCCTTTCACTGCTGAATAGCTGTGTAGTCTTTTGATTTGTTCTTTGCCCTGCAATTGCATCCCTTTAGGCTGTAATCTCATCAGATCTTGCAGTAGGGCAAGGTCAAAACAGGTCAGTGCTTTTAAAGGAAAGCTTTCAAGAGAAAAGAAAAAGTTGCAGAAGTACATTTGTAGTTCTTCCATTAGAAATAATATATCTGGGCTTTAGAGAGCATTGTGCTACTGTATATACTTTTGATCATATTTAATAAGCCTTTGCGACTGCTTTATAATTCCTGGGGCTCTGTAACAAGGACTAGGGTGAAAAGCCTGGCAAGTTATAGCTTAGGTAGTTTTTAGCAAATTAAAAATTTTCTTGGATCTAAAATGAATATAAATACAGTCTTTTAAAAAACTTAGAATTCTGTCCTGTGTTGCCTATTGTAGATGAGATTGTTTGCATGAAGGTTTTATTTATTGATTAGTGGGGCTTGTTGTATTTAGAATTCCTGGAAAAGACATTGTGCATTTCTACTTTAAAATGTGATTGATTTATTTTTACAGAGTCTGTAGCTCGCTCTAGTAAATTGCTCAGTTGGTGCCAGAGGCAGACTGATGGATATGCTGGTGTTAATGTGACAGATCTCACAATGTCATGGAAAAGTGGCCTAGCTTTGTGTGCCATTATCCACAGATACCGTCCAGACTTAATGTGAGTAGTAACTGTCTGTTTTGAATAACTGGGAAGGGCAGAACGTTAGTGATATTTAGAAGTAATTGTATGGAGACTGAGGCAATACATGGAGAAATAGATGGAAATGAATTCACTTAGGCTTGACAGAAACTAATGTGACTCACCAGCAGAGTGGAAGGTCATAATAGGATGGTGAATATCAAGATAAATGTGTTACCGTTTTCCCTTCTGGATGATTAGGCAGAATTAAGCTTCAAATTGATATTGACTGGAAAGCATTACTGACTGACAGCTTTTTCCTCTGTGAAGTTAGGTATAGTTCATAGTTTCTTGTGAAACTATGAGCTGCTGCTGGTTTTGGGAGTAGTGACCCACAGGCTAGAAAGATATTGCTACTGTTTGTATGCTAGCATGCTGGTATTGGGTAAATGAGAGGAATCCTCTTCCATGATACATGGGGTAAAACAGTGCCCAGATTCTAGAATGGGAAAACACTGGCTGGAAGAAGTAACAGTAGCAAAGACTCCGGTACTTTAATTAAAGTCTGAAATGGCTTCAATTTCCCAAGAGGACAGTAGAAAAAGTAAGCACTAGAGCTGTATTTAAACACATAATCCAGTATAAAGCATGTTGAAAAAGGATGTGGTTATTGCCTTCCATGTGCACTGAATTACTTCTCTATTGGTTTACTTGAGTTAACGTGAGCTATTCTTTTAGTAGCTATATAGCTTGCGGAGAGCTCAGGTAGCTTTTAAACTTATTTATGTAACTCTCTACAAGCTGTAGCTTTTTATATAGTTTTTATGCAGTTCTACAAGTTTTGGGAAAAGCCAGCAGATTGAAAATATGGATCTATCAAGAAAAAAGGGGGATAAAAGTGAAGACTTATATTTGTTCCAAGCACACAAAAGATTTAATGCAGGGGAAAATGCTACAGGTTTCCATTAAAGGAAGAAGTGAAGGTGTATTTCAGAGGCTAATAAGGTCTTTAAGAAGAAAAACCTGGGTTTGGAGAAGGAACAAAAAATGAAGAAAGAATTAATTTGAGCCAAAGTTCACCACAATTAAGTAGCATCAATTCTGCAATACAGAAAGATTGCTGGCAGATAAATTTGAGAGATCGGGGGGGGGCGGGGGAGAAAGGAAATGGATCCCCAAATTCTTTTAGAGGTCTGGTTTCTACTTGATTCAGTGCATACCCTTTTTCTGTCCTTTGCAGAGACTTTGATTCTCTGGATGAGCACAATGTGGAGAAGAATAACCAGCTGGCCTTTGACATTGCTGAAAAAGAGTTTGGAATATGTCCCATTATGACTGGAAAGGAAATGGCATCTGTTGGAGAGCCAGATAAACTCTCGATGGTGATGTACCTCACACAGTTCTATGAGATGTTTAAAGACACCATCCCCTCCAGTGGTAAGGAGCTTGAGGCATGTCAGATTCAAAGATGGCTTCAGGGTGAACATGTGTGCTTCAGTTATCATGCTGCTTCTGCATGAGGTCATACTAGTCACTAATTTTACATTACAAGAAGTTGACTTCTTAGAGGTGCTAATAAATATGATGTTAGCAGCATCAGGAGGAGAAAAAAGAGTTAATACAAAGAACATCCTCAAAAGTTCTAAACTTGCTTCAGCAATATTAGATAACTTTTCTGCTTTTTTGCTGTTCTTAGGGCTTCATCTGTCTTAGCTTATGTGAGATGCCTTGCTAGTAGGTGCTTAATAGGTAATTTCAAAACACTGGCTAAGTTTCATACCTCTTTACCATCCGTGAATGGTGAGACTAACTTCAGGCCAATGAGAAATGAAAGGTCTTTGATCAGAACAGAAAAATGTAATTGCCTGACACAAATCAGTATGGCCTACTTTTAAATATTAATAATGTTTCACAGCTTTACTATTGATGATCTTAATTCAAAGTATGTAATTCTGGTGGGGGAAAAAATGTTTTTAATAGCCTTTTAAAAATATAATATGTATCAGGTACTATTTCCAAAACTGAACTCTTTGTAAGAATACTGATGATCATGATGCTCTTTAAATATGAAAGTAAATAGGGTAAACAAACATAGTGTTTCTTCTGGATGGTTATAAACCCTGAAAGAAGAATTGATTTTGGCAAAACAAAAAAGCAGAGTAGCTTTTCAACCTGAGAAGGGTTGTAATTCTGGGCATTAAAATAATTTTGTACTAAGAATCTGTGAAAAGTGGTATGTTAAAAAAGATAATCAGCAAGTCCTTCAGTTGTGTATTTAATAATAGCACCACAGAAAAGAATTTTTGGCATTCCCTTGTCCTGCCTTTTTTTGCTAACAGATAGTCTGGACTTGAATGCAGAAGAAAAAGCTGCCCTAATTGCCAGTACCAAATCGCCTATCTCTTTTCTCAGTAAACTGGGACAAAGCATCTCTCGAAAACGCACTCCAAAGGTAACCGTACCACAGTCTTGATACCACTTGTGTCTATTAGGCTGCTGTCCAAGTAAGTGGTATCAGAAGTGCACGTATAAGTGTGTATTTACTGTGTGTTTACAAGAGGCCACGTGTTCATCAGCTTTTGGTATGTTGCAGCACACAACATTTTTAACTGCAGAATCACATCTGTAGTATGTATTCTTAATTAGTGGTATGTTTCAGTCTTAAAATCCCAGCCTTATTATGGTATTTGGGAATATATTTTGTGTTGGAACATAACTTGTTACTCAGTTCCCAATTAGTTGAAAGCGTTGAAGAACGTACAGTTTTAAGGTAAGAATCTCTTAATGCAGATCAGGATAAAACCCTATTCTGAAACAAATGGAGAATGAGCCCAGAGAATTAATCAGTTGTATTGAAAAGCTTATTTAAGCATATTGATGACATTTGTCTCAGGCTAGAAAGGTATAAGAGTCTTTATCTTTGGTGTTTGCTTATTTCTTTTTCCATTTTCAGGACAAAAAAGAAAAAGAACTGGATGGTGCAGGAAAGAGGAGAAAAACCAGCCAATCTGAGGATGTAAGTATTACAATGAAGAAGGTGTCAGGGAAGAGAACATATGGTAGGTTCTTTTTCCTACTTCAGTCCTTTCATTTTGTATCTCCAGACAGGGTTTATATAAGATTTTTTTTTTTTAATAAAATTTAATTCTTCAGCTGTTATGCTTTGTCATATCTGTAGTGTAAATATTTGACTGATGCTTATGAAAGAATAGTACATAACAACTGAAATGTTGCAGTTCCTTCATATTCTGTTTTTACTGCAGTTTATTTTGGTTTGATGAGAGGACACCAAGAATAAACCTTTCATTTAGTAAAGTAAAGCAGTACAGAGAGAAGCTTCATTCATATTTAAACTTTAGCCATGGTTAGTGCGAAAAGCAAATATGTCTAGTATGCCCCATAAGTCAGTCCTTTAGTTGAAATGTTTATAGCCAAATAGCTATAAATGAGTTAAAATTTAGTGTTTTGAGATGTCACCAAAGGTTTAGAGATATGCCTTTGCTTTATGTCAAGGGATTCATGAGAGTGTTTCAGCTGTGTTCTCTTTGGTTGGTAAGTGTATCAAATAAGGTTGAAAAGGTAAGGAAATTTTAACAGAACTTTTGATGACATGCCAAAAGAAACGGAAATGTGAGCTTTCAAGTGCAGACTAATAGATTTGTTTTCCACATAGAGAGGAAATGGTGATCTGGTTATATCTTTTGATACCACTGATTGTTAGGAGGACATACCACGAAGCTACAGAGAAGAAAGGCCCACACTGGTGAGCGCCCTGACGGAGAGGAGAATTGACGCTGCCATTGGGAATCAGAACAAAGTCAAGTCTATGGCAACCCAGCTACTGGCCAAGTTTGAGGAGAATGCACCAGTGCAGTCCTCAAGCTTACGAAGACAGGTAGGAATTGAGGAGGAAAATAATGAATAATAAGATGCATTCCTTGAGACTGGATGCTAGTGGCACTTCTCTGCTTCAAAGGCTTTCCTAGGGAAGCGTGAAGCTTTCTCAAAAAAGAAAAAGATAAAATTTAGGAGTATGGTCTGGAGAAGAACTTCCTTATAAGTCTATTTCTCTGTTATTGCCTGTCTTATGTAAGTTTTTTCACAAGCAGTTAGGTTTCTTTTATAACTACTATTGCCATTTAAAAGCTTTCTAGAAACATTCCACTTCCAGTGTTTAAGAATGATCATTTAATTTGATGTGAACTTCGTCATGCCATGTTACATCTGTTTGTTCTTGTGAACTGTGGTTAAGTTTTGCATGTGCATGTAAATGCAGCAGGTAAATGCCTGGGAGATTCTTTGCAATCAGGATATTTCTGTAATTCGAAGTGATGCTTCTGGATAACTGCTGGTTATTCAGGATGGTATCTTGACTATTGCAACTGCAGGATAGTTATCTTCAAAGTTAGATTGAGTCACTTCAAGCTACTGCCAGCAGTGCAGTGTCAGCCGTATAAGGCTCAGTATGGTTTGAAGACCTGAGTTCTTGCTCTGCTGCTTGGTTTGTCTTCATAGCTTGTGCCAGGCTCTGTGCTGCCATGGCCAGACTGCGTGGGACCTGACCTTGCTACTTTAAAGCTCGGTCAAGTATGTCTGTGCTACACTGCACATCAGTGTTAGCAATACAACACAACCGTAGAATGGTGGTGCTTCTCCTACTCTTTATCAATTGGATGTTTCTGAGCTACTACATATGGCTGGAATAACCAGGCTGATTTGAAGAAACAACAAAGATAAAGAGAAGGAACAAAAATATGTGTGGTTTCCCATTTTTGCTTTTTTTCTTAATATTTTAGTTGCTAAATAAATTCTCCCCTACCCTTTTTTTTTCTTTAATGTTTGTCTGTCTTACTCTGTATCCCACTCCTTTGGCTTTTTTGAGTTTCCTTTACTGTTTTATCTTTCCTCCTTGGTCCCATTTTCCCTACAACCTGCATGCAGCAACCTGTCCTGCCTTATCAAGAACGTGTTCACAACCAGCCATCCAGCAGACGAGAGCAGGGCCGTCTTGCTCCCATACCCCAGTGGAAACAGGTAAAGAAACCGATTATGAATACTACACATTGCCTGCACCCAACACCAGCTATCACTGTCCTGTTTTTAAACCAGTCTTTCTCCAGCACCTTTTGTGAGTCTTATTTAAAATAATTTAGCTTTTGGTTAATAAGATCAACATCACTCTTCGGTAATGGTGCATGGCTTAATATTTCAAAAGCACTTAGGAAAATTTTCCCTGCCCTCTTCTCATAGTTCCAGCTTCCTTAGGGTTTCAGTGGATGTTTTAGCAGAAAACTTGCCTGTAAAATATCTAGATTTTTCTGTGTTTTCTTATATTTGAAACGTAAGCTATTATAACAACCAATAAGGTAAAAGGTCTCATGTCACCTATGATATTAAAGCTTTTCCTTGATATAAATAGGAAAATTGGTTATTAGGTTTGCTGTTCACATGTCAAATCTTGTGTTCTACAGTTACAGAAGACTTCACTGTGGTTCCCCTTTCTCTTTGACAAATGTAACTTTCCTTGCCAACTTCTCACATACATTGCATTGCAGATGCCTCTATTGCTGTAAATTAAGGAAATTTTAGGTTTGCTGCCACAGAGGGTTTCAGACTAGCAGAAAAATCATCAGGTATCAGATTTTATTCTCTCTCTTGTTTTGGCCTATTGTCATAGCCAGTGTTTTTATTTCAGCCGTGCACTTTCAGCAGCTAAGGCTTGTGACGGACAGTTTTTTCAGGCAGATAGGGATACTTACCTCATTGGCTTACTCTGCTTCGACTGTTTCCCTGTGCAAATGGCCTCCTCTTGCTTTTGAGAGTCCTGAGAAGTACTTTTCTGGCAGCCATAATTTGGAGAAAAATCTGCTTCTTTCTGGTTGCAGTTTAATCAGAGCAAACTTTGGAGTCAAGAGGGAGAAGGTGACACTAGTTTGGAAATTCACTGTTCTGTATGGTTAAGGATTCATGGTGATATTCATGTTTGAAGCATTCAACAATTCTGCATGTCATGACTTGTTACCATGATCTGGAAGTTTTATTTCCAAGGAGGAAAACCCAAGCCAGAAGAATTGTTGTCAGTTGGACTGTCAAGAGAGTCTTAAAAATGACAGCATTATGGTTAGGTTTCCTGACTCAGTATTTGCTCTTCTGTCATATGAAAATCTTCTTTATAGGTGGATGAGCACTTTCAGATGGATGCACATCTTCCATGATTAATGCAAATTTTGTCTTTTAAGAATACTTCCTACGTAAAGGGGGAGTACCCAAAGATCTGATACAGAAGAACATAATATGGCTGTACAGTATTAAGTCAGTTGATGACCATTGCTAATCTTTCCCCACAAAAAAAGGAAAACTGGATTGTGTTGGTTGTCTTTCCCAGCTAAGAAAGATGAAGTTTTGTATTTTAGCACTTGGAAAAGATCATAACCCTGCAGCCTTGAGTTTTCTGTTTGAATCTGCTGCTGAAACTTTGTGACAGCTTTATAATTAGTCTTTATGGTGAAACACAAGTTCTCACTGTCATCCTTTTGTGATAGATCAAAAAAAAATGGACAACCTTTTGTTTCCTGCTCTTACGATGAGGATTTTCTCCTCACCAAAGAGCGGTTTGTTCTTGTGTTTGTTCTTTGCTTATACCTGAATTACACAATTAAAAAAAAGTGGGGTGGTGGTAGTGGATGTCCCTCTACATTGGTAGAATATCCATATAGGCAGCAATGTAGGGCAGATCTGAGGAAAATCTTTTTGTAACAGTGGTACTTTCAAGGACTTAAATTATTTTATTCAACGCTGACAGTGATTGCCTTGTGTGGATGGTTTCCCTCTCAGGATTACACATGGAGATGATCTTTCCTTGTTAAGCTTTACTGCATGAACAGAAGATGATTGGTTTTTCAGTCCAGGTTTCTTGCTGGATTTGCAGTGCTCTTCATTGAATAACTGAAATGGAGAAGAACAAAATTGGGTTTCCAGGATTCAAAGTCTGCAGGATGCAGTAGGATCAAAGAAACAATTGACACAGTCCCTATTCTGAAGGTTCCTTATTACTTGCCTGCTGAAGTGAAGAACATCAGTTGTCTTCATTCAAAAGCCATGGGTGTATATAGAACCATTTATTCTCAACAGATCAGAGATCTGGCTCAGACTTGAGCCGATCAGTCAGCTTTGCCAAATTTGTACAGAAATCCATCTTGCAGGAAGTTGTTGAAGCAGTGCTTCATCAGGCTGAGGCTGCTGTGATTCCTCATTCTGGTTGCTTAGGCATGCAGAATCTGGTAGCTGTGAGACTGTACCTTTCTACAGTTCTGAATTGGCTTTCTACAATGACATTGGGCACTCTAGCTACAAAGCTATTTCCTGGGCCACAGATTTTCAACAGTGGAGTTGGCGCTGCCTACCAGTGCATGTTACTGGAGATGTTATAAAGGAGTAGTATTGCTCCTGACAATTTAGGGGGACAGCTCAAAAGAGGTGTTCATGAAGCTATGGGAAAGGGTTCTCTTGTGTGGTATGAGAGTTATGAGCAAAAACTTCTGTCAGTGACTGTGCATAAGATATATCACATAGCAAATACATTCTGTGGGAGTCCTTTGAAGAGGAGCAAAGCAGTTCCTAAGGGAACAAAGTGGTGATGTGTTATTGGAGGGGAAACCACAGGTTGCCTAATGTTCTTGCCAGTAGGCAGAATTAAGTTGAGATCCTCAGCTGGGAGAAGGGCAATTTCACATCTTGTGGCTGATAGGTTTGGTCCTTCCTGCATCTTGAAAACTGTGTGGAAGAGGAAGGTATACTGTAAAAGCATAAGAGTGATTGCAGGAGGGAAACCACACAGTTGCAAAGGATGTGGTATGGGTTGGACCCTCGGTTTTGATGGAAAAATTACATCTGCCTAGGGCTATTGCCTGCCAGTGTCTGTCAGATGGAATTCCTTAGCTGTACTTACTTTTCAGTTTAGATCTAGAATCTTGCTTTGCCCTGGAGTTAAAAATTATGAGGCCAGCAGTTGCAATGAGCTTGTAAGGCAAAATGTTTGTTGTAGAGGTGGCTTGCTAAGACAGAATTCCTAGAAAGAGTGAAGTCCTGGCAGAATCTGTTCTGAAACAGTTTTTACTTTCATTGCAAGACCTCTAATGCTCTTTCTCTCAGAAAGGGAGAACCTTCAAAAGATCAAGCAAGTTGAAAACCTCACAAATCTGTGGCTTGCAGCATACTGTGTGGCCTGCATTTTCCTCTTGAATCGGATTACAAAATTTGCTTTATTAAGCTGCACTTTGGAAATGTTGTTCTGTATTGGCAAAATTGGTTTCATGCTGTTATGAGCACTTCAGCAGCAGCTAGTAATGCATGAAAGTACTGTTAAGTGTATGTGCACAGTGAAAATGTGTGTAATTTGTGTGATTGCAATATCTGCTAAAAAAAACCCTGCATTGTGTTTCATGGTGTGGTGGTTAATCTCCTCACATGAATGCCTACTTGTATAAAAACATCTTGGTGTGTTCTGTTGCTTTCCAAGCCATTTTGGGAGAGAGTACCTCAGCCATTGGAAAGCCATATGGTCTATCCAGAAGAGAATTTGAATGTTTGGGTATGGTACGGGAAGTGGGCCTTTTAAATGACATTTTGTCCTGGCTTTCCATCCTCTCTCTGTATGGCCTTCAGCATTTTCTGCTATAGTCTCATAGGTCTTCTAACACCAGCAAGCTTAAATCACGGATATGTACGTAGATGCTTACAAGATGGGGATCACATGTCTTTTGGTGCATATCTTTTCTGCCTCTAGAGATCTGATGCTTGTTCTTTTGAGATAGTTCCCTGAAGTGTGATAAAAGTGCAGCAGTAACTCTGTTGGAACTGTATTTTTCAAAGATATGCAATGACTGAGGTGACCACAGCCAGCAGGAGCTGAAGTCTCAACAGAAGAGAACGTACACCACCAGTGATTTCTGCAAATACTGCTTTCCCTTCTTAATCTTTTATTAAAATCTGTGATTTTTTTTTTTTCTCTTTTCTATAGCCATCTTTGTGTTTGCATGCTGAGAAATGCATCCTACTGGAGGACTGAACTTCATATGCCTATACAATGTTGTATTCTGAGATCTGCCATGGAAAAAAATACATGAGTTTGTGAAAGTTTTGAAATTTGAAGTGCAGACTTGGACATTGTGAGATGAAAATCCATGAACAGCTGTAGTGGTTGAAAGTGTTACCACTCTTTCAGCTAGACATCAGTGGCTTCACAGTGGAGCCTTTTGAAACAGCATGTAAATGTTCCTCATCTGCTTCAGTGCAAAGTTGTGTGCTTTAGTTTAAGCTGCTTGTAGCATCTGTTTGAAATTAAGAGTTGATTTTTCTCTTCTGAAAGGGAAGAGAACACCCAAACAGATGCTAGTGTCAGCTTAGCTGTAAGGGCATTAATGAACAGACAGAAGATGCATTAATATCAAGAAGTGGTGGAGAAAAGACTGTACATAGAAAATATGCCTTTCTAGGTCTCTATTCCTAGCACATTAAAATGAGGACACACATGACAGTGTGTGCATTGTATAATGTTCAGACTATTAGATGTGGCTACATTTTGGCTATAAACCAGCTCTATTTCTGTTCTGTTAGAATGCAGTAGAGTTTAACTTGCCTGAGGTGGTTTAATACCATTGTGAGGCACAGTAATAAGTAACTTTTCATGAAGCAAAGAGCAGTCCAGATGTGGTATGGAGAAATCCAAGTTGTACCTTCCACTCGTTGTAAGATCTTGAGTCAGAAACTGTTGGTTTAATTGATGATTGATGTAAGAAACTGTTCACTGGCTGCCAGTAGAATCTGTCAAATGGACACATGATTGTGTGGTTATGGGTGAAAACTTAAGTCTTTCAGCTTCAGATAAAATGTCTTTAGGTCATTTGTGACGTGTGAGCTTAAGATTGCAGTCTGTCTGTCCATGCGTTCTGGCCTGTCTCAACAAAGCCAATGATAATGTTAACTTTTCTACCATTATTATGAATTTTTTGTTTTCTTTTTCTGTTTTAAAAAAAGATGAGGCGTAAAGAATGTTCTCGGACCTGCCCCAAAAAAGTCATCATGCTCTCTTCTTCCACTCCACCTTCCTCTCCACCGTATCCCAGGCAGCAGGTGATTCCCTCTGCATGCTCTGTCCCTCTCTCTTCATTACTGCTTGTACAAGTGACTAGATCAGTTACCAGATATCCCATTTACAAATGAATTTCCAGTGTTCTTTTTTCAGATGGTGATAGGGCATCTTCAGCCTCTTAGGTTAGAAACATAGGTTAGCATTAGCTGACCAGAAGCATGGAGAGTCTCCACTCTCCAGTCCACTGAAGACTTTAGGGTTTTACCGTAGAGTAATTTATAACTACAGTAGCCTTTCTCAGTTGTGAGTAGCAGAAAAAAAGAAGTTAAATGGTTGGAGGGAAAGAAAATGCAACTTTTCTCCTTCTCCAGTCTTTAAATAGGTGTGACTGAAAATTTGCCCTTGTATCCATGAAACTCTTTTAGGATTACTTATGTGAAGTGCCTTTTTTGAGCATTGTGCCCTGCATATGTCCACTGTGGTGCTTCTGTTTCCCCCATACCTAGACCTTTGTCTCATAAGAGTTTGTGTTCACTCAGTCTGAATTTGAATTTGGAGAGCTGTTCTATTCAAATGTATGTATGTGCATCCAGATGTTTGTGCAGATGCATTTGTTGTCCTTCCAGTTAAACCTTACCTGAAATCCTTCAATATTTGTCTTGTACATAGTCATCATGCTTCTTTGAGTTGCATCCTTTTCTAAACTTTTTTGTTTAATTTTCCTACTGCAGTAATAAAATTGCACTCCTCCCTGGTCAATCCTGAACTAATCTTGAGGTGATAAAAAGCTGCAGTTCATAACTTTAAGTAAGGATTGTACGAATAAATTTCCCTGTAGGTGGAAAATGTTTCTTTGCTGAACACTAGTATGCCTATAAACTCTGTAAGGCATGTTACCTTTTAGCAGAGTAGTCAGGACTTACTCTTAATCGGCAAGTTTGCCAGTGACAGCAAGCTGTGTGGTGTGGTCGGCACGCTGCAGGGAAGGGGTGCTAGACAGAGGGACCTTGACAGGCTAGAGAGGTGGCTGATGTCAACCTCATGAAGTTCAGCAAGGCCAAGTACAAGGTCCTGCATGTGGGCTGGGGCAATGCCAAGCACAGCTACAGACAGGGTAGAGAATGGATTGAGAGCAGCCCTGAGGAAAAAAGACTTGTAGGTGTTGGTCGATGAGAAAATGAACATGAGCCGGCTTCAGTGTGCTCGCAGCCCAGAAACCGACCATATCCTGGGCTGCATCAAAAGGAGCATGACCAGCAGGTCGAAGGAGGTGATCCTGCCCCTCTACTCCGCTCTCATGAGACGCCACCTGTAGTACTACATCCAGCTCTGGGCCCCCAGCGGAAGAGGGATGCAGACTTGTTGGGCTGAGTCCAGAGGAGGCCACAGAGATGATCAGGGGGCTGGAGCACCTCTGCTATGAAGACTGGCTGAGAGACTTGGGCTTGTTCAGGCTGGAGAAGAAGGTTCAGGGGAGACCTTAGAGCAGACTTGCAGTGCCTAAAGGGGACTTCCTGGAAAAACTGGAGAGGGACTCTTGACAAGAGCGTGTAATGACAGGATAAGGGGGGAATGGCTTTAAACTGACAGAGACTAGGTCTAGATTAGACACTAGAAAGAAGCTCTCTACTAGTGAGGCACTGGCACAGGTTGCCCACAGAAGCTGTGGCTGCTGCAATCCCTGGCAGTGTTCAAGGCCAGGACAGGGCTTTGGGCATCCTGGTATAGTGGAAGTTGTCCCTGCCCATGTCAGGGGGTTGGAACTGGATGATCTTTAAGGTTCCTTCCAACCCAAACCATTCTGTGATGTGATAGCTAGCTGTCTTCTTCTTGCCAACATCCTTCGAAAATTTTGACAGATACCTTTTATGAGAAAAGAAAGGTTTTCCCCAAGATTGCAGATAGAGAAGCTAAGGCAGTTAAATGCAGTTTTACTTTTTAATCTATGGCATGTGATTCATTTTCCATACAGAGAAACTGGCTTTCAGTCACTAAGGACCACTTTAGATCTGTTTTCTCTCGCTGGCTTCTTCAAGTGTTTGTCCTATGTCTTTTTGGTTGTCTAGCTCAGTCGTGAGAGCTAGCTACTGCTGGGTCCAAGTGAAATTCGACCCTTTTTCTACGTTGTTTCCTATAAAAAACTTTTTTTGCATGTTGTCTTGCTCAAAGAAATAATAATAATAAAAAATTTGGCTTCCTTCTTTTAACTCTGAGGATCTTTTGCTCCTTGTGCTATAGAACTGATTCGTTCGAAGGCTCAGCTGAAAAATCTGCTTTTGGAGACATTCTTTTTTCTTAGGAATGGTTTCCTTTCCTGAAATTGTCTTGGCCTCATAGCAAGTCAGATGGATCTGTGTCCTTATTACACTGATGTCTTTTAAAACTTTTTAAACTCCATGCTTCTAATGCATTCATTCTGCCACTTCTTTTAAGCTTTCCATTTCCATCCTTTGATCTAACATCACAGCATGAGTTACATTGAGCGCGTTACCATCTTTCCTGTACTAATTTCGTTATATTGTGGTACTGTATTGTCGTTTACTGACCTTATCTGAATATATGTTTTAAATTAATTTTCCTACAGGAGCCATCTTATTATTGGCAGGTTTAGAATATTCTTACTAAACTGTTCTGCTGTCGTTATGGTCTCTTTTCTGCCTGCATCTTAAGAAAAATCAGATGAAGTGTGTTTTGACTAGGAAGTTGGTCTGTGATTGTTAAGCTCATAATTTGTTGCCTGCAGAGAAACAGGGAACCTGGTGCTGACTATCCCGGGGAGCAGAGTCCCAGACAGGAAAGGGTAAAGAGCATGAACAAATGGCATGGATGCTGATGACACAAGGCTATGGTGGATATGTGCAATACGGAGAGCAAATAGACTGGGTAGTGAAACACACTTATCCTAATGCTGCTGTTAACACACTGGAACTGCTGAGAGTCAATTAGGAGTGATTACTTCTGTGTGATACCCACATAAATGCATAACAAGCCTTTATCAACAGTTTGCTACATGCTTTTATTTTGGCATAGATCTAGTGCTTAAGCTCTTCCCATTCTTTCTCTTACACCTCTTTAGCGAAGTATGCTGTGGCTGTAGCAGAACAAGAAGAGTTATGTTTGGTGCTAATTCATGCAAACATGGTTGCATTGTTTTCACTGCTTGCTTTCTGGATGGTTAAACAGCTGGCATTCCATCTTGCCTCCTACAGGCCAAAGTAAAAGGAAAAATCATGAGGCATTATTTAATATGGAGACTTTGAAGCCTTCTTAACAATGAAATATTCAACAGTCTCTCTGAATGGCTCAGTATAATACAGAAGCATAGGAAAAGAAAGGCACTCAAAAGAATTGGTTGATTTGAATTCATATTGACAAATTCATTGACATTCCAGTAAAGGCTTTGAATGAATTAAGTCTTAAGTGGTAGCCAGCTATAAAACTGTTGCAACTTTCAGAATGTGTTCTAACAAAAGACTCTTGTGGGCCAAATGTTTTCTGACAGGCAGTAGAAAATGAATAAGCACGTGTCTGCAGTGACACAGAAGCCCACAGCTTTATAATAGGCCCTAGTTTTAGTGAAAATGATCTAGGAGGAAGGAGTAGGTGGAACTGAAAGTAGCTGAAAATTGAGAGTATTATTAATGCATCTGAATGAGAGAAGCGTTTCTCGTAAATTGGGTGTGAACCTGATTTTCTGTTCTGCTTTGAAGGACAGCTAGCAATACATAGCAGCACCCTGGCATTCTTGACAGATCAAGCCTGAGGTTTCTTCATGCACATGTTTGTAGTCTGTTCCCTTTTGAACTCTACAAACAAATTAGTTGAAGCTGTGTGATACTGCAAGCAATACTCCTGTCTTGTGTAGCAGGCCATGAGCCAGGTCTTGTTTTCTGTGTCACTAAGTGCACCACACAGCAGTTTAAGAAGATTGTTATGCAAGAGCAGAATAGCAGAGGTGTCAAATATTGTGCTTGGGGGTGTGTTGACATGACAGCACAGTAAGAACAAGTAGGACAGCAAAGTTGCAGAAGTAAAACTGGCAGTTTCTGAGACAGTTTTATTTTGCTGTACTTTGCTTCAACCAGCCAGGCTTGTTAAGCATCCTCTCCTTGGCAAGTACAGCATTCACTTTTCATCTTTAAGAAAACTAAGTCATTCTTTAGGAGAACTGAAGTACATTATTACCCTGGAAACGTGTTTCTGTGCACAAATCCAAGAAACACAAGTATGTACAGGTTTAGATATGTGAAGGAAATCCTTGAGAATTGAGAACTGTGGCGAAATAAGTTGGCAAATAAGCTCCTTTATGCATGATAAAGCCACAGGTTTTATTTATTAATGTATTTTGGATGGTAATGCCAGACTGAGAGAGGCCACACGCTTGTCTGGGTTTGGCTGCAGCAGTCATAGGTGGGAGAGTTGTGAATAACAACTAATTCGACTGTTTTTTTTTCTTGGCCTTGTGGGTCAAAACTTAGCACTTGATTAGAACAGTAGCCTTTGAGAGTAAAAGCAGCCTTCACATGGGAGCTCCTGTTACTGTTCTGCATGTGTATTTCATACCTTATGTGTGGCATTCCAGTGTTCCTTTGGGGGCTTTATTTTTTTCCTGTTTTGTTTATTACCTCCTTCCTCATCTCACAGAGATCTCCTCGTTTATTTTCTGATGACCAAGTGCCTGAGAATGTTGAGCAAAGGGCCCTCCTGGAGTCCAGACCTGCAGTGAGGCATCAGGTGACTACAGCCCTGCCTATTGGTGTCCTGTATCAGTGTGGGATTCTGGGTACCGATCACATCTGTGGTCAGAAGGAGAGAAAAATTCACCAAAATATGATGACCACTGCTCCACAGTCATATGGCTAGAAGGACACAGTCAAGTCTATTTTGTGTAGTATTTCTATCCTACTTGCTACTTCTTACCTGTCTCCTTGCTTGATAAATAATGGTATTTCTGTTTCTCAAAACACAATATAAACAATAAGGTAAAACCCAGCCTCTGAGCTTCAGACTACATGCTGAAAACCAGCTGGAGTCCAGATCAAATCATCTCACAATGGTCGTCTACCAGTCAAATGCTCACAGATGCTTCTGGAAGCAGCAACATTTACATTTTCCAGGCACGCTTCCTGGCTCTGAAGTACTACTTTCGTGTCTGTGCTTCATGCAAACTTATTTGCAGTGGTAGAGTTGGCAGCTTATGTGGATTTTCTTTGATTCAAGTGTACACTTTTGGTTTGGTTTTGTGCTTAATTTTCTCTCCAGTACGTCATCCTTGGCATATGGAGCATGCTGGTTTGAACAGTGACTTCTTCAGTTTCTAGTTGCTTGCCCCTATCTATTTTCAGTTATCTTGAACAGCATTTGGCAAACTGGAGAGTGCTTTTTGGAAAACACTGTTTACATAAGTGAGGGGATTTTTTTAATAACTTACTGTTTGAGTTAACCATCCAAAATCAAGCTGTCTTCTTCTGCTGGAGTATAAACAGTCCCAGAACTTTTGCTTGTGGTGATAACTTTTCCAAGCCATGTCAAAAGGAAACTTATAACATCGAGGTCACTTCTCATTGCTGTTCTTTGCTGGTGATTAAAGTCAGTGAAGCTGTTCTCCAAGAAGAAAGAGCGAACCTTTAGTTAGATTTTAGATAGGATTTGGGGACACAGAAGAAACTCTGAAAGACTGAGTAAGAAGACTAGTTTAAATATCCTCACAACTCTCTTAATGAGTGACACAACTGAAGATCTTGGGCGTGATCCAAAGACAGCATGCTTGTGTGCATTTCCCTACTTAGTTGAAATGATGATACAGAAATGAACATCTAGACCAAAACATCTTGTTCCTACCTTTTATGTTGCTCTCTAAGCACTTTTAAGCTCCTTTTGAGGGTAGAAAAGATAAACAGCATTATAATGCAAAGGCAGGAATAATTTTTGAATTCTGTTGGATTTCTGTATAGTGCAGAATTAGGAGAAGAGAAAATAGAGGGGGGGGCTGGGAACACAAAGTAGAGGAAAGGATAAAGTGGGTAGGGCAGAGAGGAAAAAGGAAACAGATGTTGGAACACTGCAGGCAGTGATGGATTATGGTATGGGATTTAAGTGAAGGAAAAGAAGAATAATAGTTTAGTAAGAGAAGGAAGGCTTAGCAAAGTATGACATTTTCAAATAGTTGTATTTCTTTAAATTGGGGAAATTGTGAAAGCCAAGCTATTTTGCTTTTTATCCAGTAGATTTAGTCTTGAACTTATCCTATCCTAAGCAGCTTGAAACAGCTATTTTTGTGGGTCATACAGCTACATGACATTCATTTTTCCTTTTTATAACTAACAGCATAATTTTCTTGTAAAAGAGAGTCAAATATTTGAAACTTGCACAATTTTTCATTCCAGACTATAATTTCTAGGAATGTGCTCTTTCCACCAGCACTGTTTTGTCTGATACTTCCAGCTATTGTTTTTTCCCTATTTGTGTGAAGTATTTGTTGGAAGATAGGCATAATGAGCCATAGAGTTAATGAGGGGTATGTTGGAAGACCAATTGATTGGGTCCTTCTGGGGGGAACCAGTTTCAGAAAGATGCATATTCTCAGTTTGGGATTTTTTGTTTGCCATTTGATAGGCAAGAACAGCAGATTGGTTTACATTGTTTCATTCTTCTCAGTGTGATGTTTCCAATCTGCTTACAGTAAATTTTAGGTTAGAAATTTGCTGCCAATTACTGGCAATGAGTACAAGTTAATTTCTTTCTCTTCCGTCCCCAAGGAGAAGCAGGCTTTTTTTAATATAGTTAAAATATAGAAGAGGTCTCACATGGCCTGAAATATGATCTTCGTGCCTTGGGCCAGTAGTAAAGAACAGTGGGAGATACAGGAGGAGTAGAGGAAATTGATTTGGGAGCTTTGCCAGTGGCTGAGTTGGTTGGGTTACAGGAGGTTGGACATCTGTAGAAGAAGGTAACTGCTTCCAAATGGTCATAAATGACTTAAAACCTAATAAAGAGCAAATTAAGAATAACTTACTCTGTCTTGATAGGGAGAAAGTGAAGATACACTGGGCATATTCCTCCAAGTTTTCCTATGAGCATCGTTTTTTTGATGGTGGGCATAGAGGGCCTGAGTGTTTGTATTTTCTCCTCTCTTCTCTCTGTAGCCATGTATGATTGTTTTGGTTTTTATTTTATTTTTTAGCCTGAGACTGAACCGTCTCGCCGATTCTTTGTTGACCAGTGGGAGCTCTCCCTTAGTCTCCGTTCTTCTAATCGCCCTTCTTCACCTTCATCTGACTCTCTTCGACAGGTAGCATTAGCCTGAGCATTGCGAGGTGCACTCAGCTGTGTTCGCTTGCTGCACCCTAGCCCCACCAGCCAACGACACACCACAAGAGATGGCCAGGCTTGAGTGCTTCACCTGCAGAATGCAATTTCTGTGCATATTCATGCACAAATGAGAAGCCAGAGGCAGTTTGTGGCATAGCTTGGTTATTGTCAGCCGTAAAGCGGTTTGAAACTAAATACATTTAACATCTGGTGTAGATGGAAAGTGGTACATCTCACTCTTAAATGTTATTTTTTTGAGGACTGATAGTCTTTTGGCTTTGGAGTAAAGCTTTCTTGTTTTGCTTGCTGCTTTTGTTGAGATATTGGGCCAAACTGCAGAATGCTTTTGTGCATATATGCTTAGCGGACAGTGTGTAATAAAAAGTACTTTACCGTTCTGAAAATTCAGTGATAATTTCAACTAGTTGCAGTTATCTTACATAAATAGTAGGAATTTGATTTGTCCAAAGCTGGCCTGGTACAAGGCCAAATGTGATGTGTAGGAAAAAGGCAAAACAAATCGAAAACACTGAACCCCAAATCAAGAATTCAATAACTAAATTTCCCACACTAAATAGTCCAAAGTATTGTCAGTTAAGATTAGCACAGCTTTTAAAGCATGGGCCTTCGTATGTACTGGTAGAAATTTAAAGATCCTGAAGCATCTGAATGAATGTTGAATGAACGTTTCAAATCAAAACTTGTTCTGTGGAAACCTGGTTCAGCTGAAAGAAAGTTTATCCCATGGAAAAGCTTGAACTCTCTTTTAAGAAAACTTTAAGTCTTAAAGGTTTCTGGTCTCTTAAAGGAAGAGTCTTGGCCAAATTATTCTTGCCAAATAAAGATTAATGCTGAAGAAATTTTTTCCACTGGTCACCATTTTAAATGTAATATTTGACAAGGTGCAGTGTATGACATTGAATGGCAGCTCTGCCCATTATGTGTGTGCACACAGTAGCTAAGGAAGTATATAGAACCTATGGAAGACAAACCATGTATTATTTCTTGCACTTATAAATTCTGCAAGTACTCTGCATTCAGTAGAGATAGAAGTTGTGTCTGAGTAGAAGTAAAATATCATTACTTTAGTGACACGGAGCTTAAATAGTTAGGATTTCAGTGATAACAGCAGTAATCTCTGATGGCTGAGCCCTCCAAAGTACCCATTCTGTGGTGAATTTCACTTCAGCTTCCTGCTGTTCCCATGTCTGAACACGTGAAGGTCTTAAACACTCCTAAAAGGCTAATAACCACTTGTGCTGTGTTATTAGTTGTGGAAGATAACTAGAGTCCTTCAAACAAGTTCTGCTATATGAGGAAAGGGAGTCTTGAGATACACCTTTAGTCCTTTTCTTCAAAAAACTCTTATCCTTGGTATTTTACACTTGCCAGAAGCTGGACTGTCTCTCTGATGATCCTTCGTTTGCTGAGGAGGCTCCCACTAGCAACATTCATAATACTTCTTAGCCTGGAAAAGGAAAATTGCTTGGTGTGCTCCTTGCTGCTCTGAATCAAATACATGGCGTTTGCAGTGTGGTTGAGCTAACATGGATGTAATCACGTGATTTTCTTAACCATGTAATTATTGCCAATAGTTGTAAGTATTCCCTGTGAAAAACCCTTCCTCTGCTCCTGCAGTGACTGAAGTTGGCTTGCAAACACCCATTTGGTGCCACCTAAGGTAACAGTTAACCTGTCTACATTTCTCAGAATACTGGAGGGTTTTTAGATACCCAGAGTTAGAGAGTCGGTCAGTACCCATAATGGAGAAAAGCCTCGTTAGTCATAAAGCTGTGTTCGCTGTTGAACAAGTATATATTCCAGACGTGCGCAAGTATGGCTTTTGCATCTGTTTCCATATAAATCTCTATGTATTTTCGGCATTGGAAGAATTCATATTTTTGAATCACTTTGAGTTCCTTAGTTAAGGATTTCTCCCTCATCTATGTAAATTAATTCTTTCCTATTACTAAGCATAAAAATAGGCTGATGTGATCAGCATGTTGCAGTAGACTATGCAGTGTCTTTTAATAGGTCTTTGTTATGATGCCAATTTTACCCGTAACCTAGAATCTTAACCTGTATTTGGCCTTGTCTTTGGAAGTGTCTATGCTCAGGTTTCCAGGTACAGAATACCCCGCAAAGATAAGATCTCCTTTCTTCATCAGCATAGTATTTCTGGAACACTTACAGGATGTAAAATGCAAGCCGTTTTTCCCATTCTTAAAGTTGATCCTAGGCTGTACTGGTGATCTCTGATGACACTAGCTTTTGCTGTTACTACTTGTCACTTCATATTGTCCACTGTCTTGGCATGATTTGACCTCTCTACACCTTTTCACCACCTAACCTATTCTCATTTTAGTCTTTTTTTTTTTTATTATTTGATTTTTTTTCTTTTCTCACTTCACTGTTGTTTTTTTCCATCCATCTGGTAGAAGTATATAAAGATGTACACAGGCGGAGTGAGCTCTTTGGCTGAGCAGATAGCCAATCAGCTTCAAAGGAAAGAGCAACCCAAAACCCTTCTAGACAAGAAGGAACTGGTAAGACGATGTACAGAAGATAATGCGTGTTTGTGTTTAGATGTACTGTAGATCTGTGAGTGTCCAGTTGTTAACTACGACTGATGGAATCTGTTGTAGCTTTGTGAAAGATTTAATTTCTCTATCTACCCTCATGCTTGTCCTCATTTTCCTTGCAAAATGTTGTTTTTTAATCTGATCTCAGCATCCAAGGATTGTGCAAAAAACACTTGAGAAACTGTTTGTCATATTTATGAAGATGTTTGATCCACTGGGGCTACTTCTGCGTTATCATTTTTTGGATGAGATACTTATTTTGATAACGGAGGTCTAAGAATTGCTGTTTGAGGGATTTCTAATGGTTTTGGCTTTCCATCATATGCCTCCTTTAGTCATTTATTTAAAGGTCATCATTAATAGTACTGGTGTCCACTCTATCCAAAGCTTATTTTACTCCTGACATCTGTAGGCATGGCATCCTAGGACCTTCCTCCCTGGACTGTAAGGTTAGTTTTTGTGTCCTGGTTAAAATTGTGAGTTGTGTTGAAGAACTGCAGCATCCATGTGTGAAAGAACTGCACCATTCAGATGCTCCGATATCATCTGCATAAATGAAGAGGAAATATGACCGTGCAATCTTGGTGAGTCTGGAGGCACACACAGATTTAGCCATGCCTGTTTCTGTCTAGGGCTCACTCAAGAAGGAGTTCCCCCAAAACCTGGGAGGCAGTGATGTCTGTTACTTCTGCCGCAAGCGAGTCTATGTGATGGAAAGGCTGAGTGCTGAAGGCAAGTTCTTCCACCGCAGTTGCTTCAAGTGTGAATACTGTGCGACAACTCTGCGCTTGTCATCTTACGCCTATGATATTGAAGATGGTAAGAGAAATTGCCTTATTTGTCAGAATTCACTTCACTGTCCTGGAAGTCTGTCTAGTGATTTCAGCTTTTTCTTTGCTTAAGAAGTATTTGGTGAGTTAGGGAAGAATGTAACATCCATTCCAAAGACACCATCTCTCAAACTGTTGAAACTACATGGACTTCCCATGGCCAGGTCATGCTACAGCAACATAACTGGGCTCTTAATAATTAATTTAACATAATAATAGCTCCTAGAATGCAACAAAACAAATAGCTTTTGGGGTCTTGAAAGGGGTTTGGAGCCTGAGTTTGAAGGCCAGACCCTTTTCATTACTGTCAAGTGAGGAATCTCCTTAGTGTTTAATGCCACTTAAGAGAAAATAACACATTAGAGACTAATGTAGTCATTTTTTTCTTCTTGAAGACATCACAGCTATCCAACTCCATATGTTTATTTTAGGTGTACTGAAGTAGGAATTATATAATCGGGGTCTATGATAATAGATCCTTACAAACTAAGCTTTGTTTGTATAATGAAAAATGGAGCATCAAAGTTGAATAGAGGTAAGTCAATGTTATCTATAGAGAGAAAGTGTTGTTGAAGTCACTACTGAAGATTCAGTAATGACTGTTTTCTGTATCTGATAGACTGAGGAGGAAGGAATAGTATTGCAAAACTTGCTGACGACTCAGTTAAAGAGTCTACCATGCTAAGGGAATCTCCAGATACACCTAACAGATGTGAGAAGCTAGATAATATGGCAGCAGTTGAAACTCAATTTATCAACAAAGTGTGCCTGTAAGAGTAGTAATTTGAAATCACACATCACTTTTGAAAAGTGTTCTCCTTCTAAAATGTGGTGCATTCTATGTTGAGCAGTGTTTGACATGTATACAACTTCATGTATTCTGAAGAAAAAAAATACAAGAAAGTATCTCAGATCTTTATTTATGTCAGTAGGTTTCTTTATTTTCTTCCACAGATACCATTTATCTTTACTCCTGTCTCAGGAGGAAAGTATGTACAAAATGGTGTGAAACTAGTGAGAGGTTAGGTGGAAAGGATTCTACTCCAGACATGATGGTGCAGAAACCAAAATAACAGGAAAAAGTGTTAGTACTGATAGTTCTCCCCACCCCTGGAGGCAAAGATGAAATAAAAAGTGTAAACTGGTATGCCACAGGATAAAACTCCAGAATGTTCTACTTCAGATTGAAATATGGTGAAATTAGTAGGTATCTACTGTGTGTAACTAGGGAGAAACTTTTTGCATATACTGGGTAGAATAATGGCCATTGAAACAGCATCTAGGCTTAAGGGAAAAAAAAGAACCAAAATTACACATTTACAATGCATTATGTATTGACTTTAAGTAATGGACTTGTTCAGTCACAAAGTGTTGAGCAAACTTAGAATCATAAACCAGTCTCCTAGTAAGAAACAGAAAACCAATTATTAGTTGACCAGAAGGTCAGCAGAGTTGGCCTGCGAGTATAAAGGGCCCAATAACAATTTTGAAATCAGCATATAAAAGTAACATCTTCATCCATAATCAAAGTTGGAAAAAAGCATTTTTTGAGGAATGCTGTTATATTGAGCATACACAAGGAACTGAGTATCTTACTATATGTTCAGCAGTAAGAGACTGAGCTCCTCTGTCAGCTGTATAGGCTGAAACATTTTTTGCCACCAGATTTAGTGATTCCTTCTGCAAGCAAGCTTACGTATATAGTTATGGCCAAATAGTTCTCAGTGAGGCAAACACAAAGCTCAGAGTTTCAGCACACTAATAGCATTGGTTCTGAAATGATTTTAAATGCCTAACACTTGCTTATGGATATGAAGCAGATATGGCCAAACAGAAATATGTAGTTTCCTAGCTAATTAAATTACAGTGAAAATTTAGCTTATGTTTCATTCCAGATTTTCTTTGAGAGAAAAAATAACAAAGCTGTACATGCATTGTTGCTATTCATCTGGCTGTTTTGACTGATAAGCATTCTGCAACGTTCTGTAGTCAGTGTCTGGTTTTAGGCTTCAAAGTCTAACATTTTTTTATGTAAGAGCTTTTCTATTGTAGCTCTGTATAGACAAATTGAAAGTGCAGGCTTTTTTAAAGAGTAAATGTTAAGAAATGTTTATTTAAGCAGAGATTATCAAAAGAGCATTTGTCACTTTTCCGTCATAAAGCAAAGCATTGTGCAAATACTGTCCCAGTGAAATTAGAGGAAGAGGCAAAGATCAGAATATAGGTTTGAAATGCATTAGGACTGTTGTATGAATAGAATAGCAGTAGGGGATGCTACTACAGGCTGCATGTACCAAGCAGGATACAGTGACAAGGGTACACTGAAAGATAATTATGTGCCATCATTTTGCTTCTATTGTTATTATTCGTATTATGTTATTACTATGTATTTGTATTATGGTATTACTTCCTGACAGCGTTCAAATACCCATGAAAAGCCACCTAGGCTTGTGGGTAGTTACTAAATCAGTAGCACCACAAAGTGTCTTAATTGTGAAAATGAATCCCTGGTTAATTGTACTTTCCATAAGTAGCCACTGTGCATTTTTAGAGATGGTGCTTTGGGAGTTAACACTGTCTTCTCCCACTTTCCTCTGCTGGTTGTATTCATTCTTGCTTTTTCCAAAAGTGCTTCTGCCAGCTTTTCATGTGATGATTTCTTTGTTCCTCACACACTGCTGCATTGTTAGCATGTGATACCACACAAGCTTCACAGCTTTGCTTTGGCGTTTGATAGGATTTTAAGCTAAATGGCTGTCAGACACCCAATGGAAAGGAGGCTAGTTAGGAGGGGGAGAGAGGAAGGCTGGAGTTAAAACTTCAGATAGCATTTGCCTCCGTGTATAGTGAAGAAACTAGAGGGAGTAACGGCAATGGCAACAGAAAATAAGCTGCAGTGAGATGGACATATATATTGTGCTGAACTGCTGTGTTCTTACTGTTGACCATCATTTGTGTTTTATCTGCAGGTAAGTTCTACTGTAAGCCTCACTACTGTTACCGACTCTCTGGTTATGCTCAGCGGAAGAGGCCAGCAGTGGGTCCTCTGTCAGGAAAGGTAACTCATTTTCATCCAACAATTCATATTAATAGGTTTTGATTTGTAACATTAAAAAAGTATATATGCTGGAGGGTTTGGTTGTATTTGTTGTTTGTTTTTCAGAGATTAGAAAAATTCAGAGTGCGTTGAATTGCCTTTTTTATGTCATGAGAGCTTGTGGTTCTATGTATTTTATTTAAAAGCAGTTCCTTTAATTACCGCTTCTTTTTGTGGTTCTTATTATAAAATAATGTACTGGCCAGAACAGGATTTTGATTTTTCTTGTAAGCTGAAATACTCACTCAGTCCATACAGAGTCTTAATGAATAATTTTACCCGTTTTGGTTTTCTCTTGTGTCTCCATGTTTTTTCCTAAGAGGAAACAAATTATTTGCATTTCCTTTGAAATATGAAGTTCTACTCCACTTGCATGCACTATGAAGGCAACCTTCCTTCATTGCTGAACATTTTCTCTGTGTTAAAGGCAATCTGCATGAAAAGAAAGGATATCCCTTTTCTCATATTATCATAATGGAAGCATTTGTGCTTGAATATTGGATCAAGAGATACTGTGTAATACAGAAAAGTCTCCTAGATTTTGTCATTACAATCTAAGGCACTTTAATTTGTCTCCTCAACTCCTTTTTTTCAGTGTTTTTGCTGAAACAAACTACATGCTAGTCTCTTCAGTTCTGGTTAGCTCACATGCCACAAAGAGTCCTTCCATCTTAAATTATATTTTCCTTTGTGGTAGTGGTGGTGCTTGTCTTTCTGCCTGTTTCCCAGGTTTTTATTAGTACAAACTGAAGCTGTACTCCTTCTTTCTGGAAGGGTAAGGGATCCATCCCAATATTTGTGCTCTATTTACTGCCAAAACCAAAGACAAAAAATGGTACTTGTTTTATTTCCCAGATGAGCAGACTTCAGAAATCTTATTGCTTTGACTTTCTTTGATATCCAGCTTGTTTTTCAGAGCTTTAGTAAAGCTGTACATTGAGAAGGCACACACTTGTTTCAGGCCTTGCCTCCATATGTGATGATTAAGGGGTATCTTAATTGTGAGAGAGATGTCTTCCTAGTTCAACATGTTCAGCACATATAGCCTCATATGCAGGGAAAAAAAAGTGTATTTCTGAGATGTTTTCAGTTTGAATGTGAATTTCATTTCCCACACGTTCTTACAGGACACCAAAGGACCTCTGCAGGACGCCATGGCAAGTGATGGAAGTGGACGGTCAAATACCATCTCCGCCACAGCAGAGAGGGCCCCAGGTAGCTCCGCTTCCTTCTTTAGCAGGGTGGTGCAGTACTCTCTCGGCCTCTTTGACAGAGTTAGGGTGGCAAGCCAGCACCTGCAAAGCACAGTTTCCTCGATTGGGCACCAGGTAGCCCAGAACCCTTTGGACTCCTTTTTCATGTGTCAGCTGGTGGCTTTTGGGGTTCCCTTTCTCTATGTCCAGTCAGAAGTTCTTGTGCAGATCCTAGGGGAATTCTGTGGGCAGCCTGCTGACCAGTAAGAATTAATGTGACACAACTTTATGAGCTGTATGACTTGTGTGATTTTATTTTTTTGGGGGGTGCCGTGTGAATTTTGTGCATTACATCAAAGTTTTAATATATTATTTTGCACTGTGGCTTTGGGGCATAGATGTTCTCAGTCCTTTCAAGGGCACGCTCTGAAAGAATTCCAGGAAAACACAGATGCTCAGTTGAGGGTCTTCTCTGAGTGGGTCCAGATAAAGAGCCATGTAATGTATGCAGCTCAGTGTTACTGAAGCTAAAAGTTCTGACGCACTGGAATAGCTCACAAACTGGAATTCTGTGTTTGCCTGAATTCTGATTGTGGTTTCTCATTCTCCTGAGCTTCTCTCCATTAATCTGGTACTTGAATGGGAAAGATCCCATTACCTCTGGATTGTCTCCCTTGGAATTCTGGGTGTCTGACAGCTAATGGGATTGGATTCCTTAAACCCATTGAATTTCGTGGTGCTGGCAGGTTGTGGTGCTCTTCCCTCATTGCCAGAATCTGTGCTGCTACTGGCCATAGCTTTGGGAATGGGGTGATGAATGTGTGTGTCTTACTGTGAAGTAGTTTTACCTTTTAATTCAAAATTCTAATTCTTTCTAACACGGGAGAAGTGTCTGTGCTACAAATGCTCGTTTGCCCGGCCCCTGAGTGCTCGTTAGTGATGTCAGGAAAAGGAAGAGATCTGATTTCTAGTATTTGTTCCAGAACACTATGGATAAACTAAATCAGCTGCTTTTAGAGAGAGAACATACTTAAAGCAGCACTCTGAGAATAGAATGTTTTTGCAGTGCCAGCTGGGGAAAGACTTTAACAACATACAGGCAAATAAAAATCATGCTTTTGTTTGACTGTATGTATTATTCTTACACGTGTTTCTAGGATTGCAACTGAATGCAATCTGACAAATTCTTAGTGAGCACAGTTGATTCTTGAAGTGTAGTTACCTTGATGGCTTCCTCTCTTGTTTGTGTGGAATTCCCATATGACAAAATGGAGGAAAAGGAAAAGGTATGGAAAAATTAATATTTGCAAAATGCTGTGGACAGATGGATTAACAGCATTTTCTTTCCTACCACTGGGTAGACTTAAAATTGCTTTCTCTAAAAGTGAAGAAAGAGTTTTGGTTTTGTTTTTTTTTTTTGCTGAAGCATATTCCTTAAGATGAATGGAAAAAATATGTCTTGGAGCACAGAGTGTCTGCTGTGAGAATAAGGTGGCTTATCAAGTGAAACTGTTGGTGATGAGAAGTGGAAAAAGAGCTTAGCTATATATATCAACTAGTTTATCAAAGGAGCTGCTGGCAGAAAGTCTCCTCCCTCTGATTTAGTCCTTCCAACTGATTTATAAATGAGCATTCAGTAAATAGCATCTAAGTGATCACAAAGTACAGCAAACAGTAGGTCGTAGTTTGCTTTAAACTTCTATAAATAAGATGTTTCCATCTCTCCTTATGTAGCTGTGACAGAGTCCTGTAGCAGAACTGTAGTACTTCCAGGGGAGTAAAACAGAGCAGACACCATTTTATCAGATGGCAAAATTTGAAATCTAGGGCTCCTCATGTTTGCTTTCTGCTTTTCTAAAGCAGTGTATAACTGTAGCATCATTTTTAAAGCTTTTGGACCTTTTAAAGCTTTGTCTTTTGCAGTGCCCAAAGTACATTAGAACATACTCAGCTTTGCTGGGTCAAGCTAGATCATCTTTAAGGCAAAGTATTGTAGTGTATTCTCGTATGTGCATGACAGAAGTACATTTAGTGCTAGGAGAATGAGCAGTGCCTCTGCTGTTCTCTCCCTCTCTGCTAGAAAAATGTCATTAGTGGCTGAGATCTTGTTTTGTTTGTGAAATAAGTTTTAAATATATATATATTAAAACAACTGGCTTAAGAATGGTGAAGAACTGGGAGTCTAAAAGCAGTGTACTTCAAAAGCAAGCCACTGTGGCATTAAAGGCAGGTCAGTTTTCTGTTAGGGTAATAGCTGTGTCCTGTAGGTACCTACCTTTAGCTCCTGTTCTTGCTGGGTAGGTAGGTCAGGAAGCCCATGATGTGTTTACAGTTACATATGGTTTGGAAGAAACCCCAAAAGCCTAAACACAGCCTTTTGAATTACCGAGCTTGCAAATACAACGGAAGAATAGGATATTATGCCTGAATAATCAGGAATCTGTACGGTTTCATCTCAGTATAACTGACTTTGAACTATCTGTGTACATGCTTTCTTTCAATTTATTAACTTGTCTGTTTAAGAGACTATAAACACCCTGTTTTCACTGTAGAGTAGACAAATACCTAGAGTAAAAACTTGTTTGAAATGGAGACAGAGGCAGAGCTGTTTCCAAGACTCTACTTCACCCATCTGGTAGACTCACCTAATACAGGTCAGGCACCTGAAAATGTTTGACGTCCTTTAAGGCAAGTGCCACCAAATGAAATTTGGCAATACTGATTTCAGACCCTGAGGTTTGAGCCAGCCCTCAGTAGTGAGGTAGAACTTGAGTGTAAGTTGCCCCTAAAATGATTAGGTAAAAAACAAGTTTAACATGCACAGGTTTGATATTTGATGGAGATGTAAGCTAGCTTAAAAGGCAAAAGGAAGTTGTAAAGCAGAAACATCAATTAAAGAAGACAAAAAAACCCAGATGCTCTGAGTTAGCAAAGTGTTTGTTCAGTGAGCTTTATGGTAACTCATGCAAGGCCTGCTTTTTAGTTGTCATGGAATTGCAAATGAATGTAAATTGCATGGGTTCTTCCCCTAGACTCACTGCCTGCCTCCTTTGCTATGCCACCAAATCTGACCGTGTCTTTTTTAGCCACCTTAATGCTTAAAATATATTCAACCACAAAATAACATACAGGGGGTCTGGTCAGTTGAGGTAAGACTGGTCACAACAAGCACTTTCTTGTGAAGTGTTACTAACCTGATTGGCATGTATTAACTTTGCTAAAGATGTCAGTGCTTCACTGGGTGGCCGCAGTCGTAGCTGGCATTTTGTCTGTCCCTGGTATTGTAATGATGATAGTTGCAGGGTACAACCTGTGATGAGGAAGTTGAGGGGGGTTTATCAGTCAACTAGAATCACCCTTGCAAAGGTTTTTCCTTGTTTGCCAGAGAGCCTGCCTGGCATCTTATGTGCTGATTGCAAGGGATGTTCCCAGGAGGGTGTTGTCAAACTGGCTCTTGCAATATAGATCAGCCCTTCAGTTTAGGAAGTGGCAACAAGCTTTTGTGTGATGGATGCCATTCTCTCTGGGGAGGGGAGTTTGGGGAAAGCGGTTACTGTGCTTTTGGTCTTGCTGAACTGTGGCATGTGTGTTGCAGATCCTGTAACCTTTCTCTGTACCCTGTCTGCCTATTTTCTCTATCTTCTGCATTTGCTTTTGTGCCAAAATTTCTGCTGTTGCCAAGAGAAAAAACCACCCCAAACTTTGCTTTTCAACTGTCTCTCCTTTTGATAATCTGTAATCTGCTGTGTCTTGGATTTATTTTATTTTTAATATTATTTACAGTACTTTATATGGTTTTAATGTGCTTTTAATGCAAATGCTGTTCTTTTGTTCGTTCTAAAGGTCTGTAAAAACATTCTGAACTTTACACTCTTTCTTCACAGATGGGCTTGGAACAGTCTTTGCCCCTATCAGCTTTATGATATGCTCCTTAGGGTCACTTTAGCTGGTGACGCTTTGTTGTAAGAAGTTTCTCCTTTCAGGCTTGTGTTCTCACAGCAACACATTTCTGTCCCCATCAGCTATAGGGAGTTCATAAAGGCAAGACCTGCTAGAGAAACTCATACTTCAGAATGTAAAGCAATAAAAGGCAAGTCATGAGATCTTTGCAGCAGTTACCTGACTTGTGAAAGATTTCAGAAGCCAAATACAAACTATAGTATGCAAAACTGAAAAATATAATACAAAATAGGGGCACTAGGTCTCCTGCTTTAAAATCACAAAAATATATAGTGTGTATCATAGGTATATAATACAAAAAGTTAATCTTCCTATGAATGTGCCTTAAGTGTTTTCAGGGAGCAATGTTTGAATCAAAGCCCTTCACAGTAGACTCTTCAACAAGTGAACTTGAATATAGCAAGCAAGGCTGGACTTTATACGGGGAAGTTCTTTTGCTGATTTGGAGAGCTATGAAGGGGTGACTGCTTTCTCTAAATAGCATGCCCTTTAAAGTAAATTATCTGAGCCACATCATAACTGTCTGTGGAATTATAATGAATCTTATGAATGCATCCAATAATATTTGCACACAATTCCACTTCTGTGCCTAATGAAGTATGAATACATTTTATATCTATTTCTGCATAGAAATAAGCTTTATGGTTAGAAACATCGCCTCTTTATGGCTCTGCATGCACTGAACATGCCTTACATATGAAAATGGTTCAGCTCAAAGCAGTACTGTTTGCTTGTGCAAACAAACATATCTTCATGAAATCCTCCACTTGGTCACTTCATTATTACTCACATTTGGGCATAGTTCTTGTTTTCATTTAGTCCCTTTTAAATGTTTAATTATGCATGATAGCAGCAGACTAATTCCGTAATGTGTTCTGTTTGTGGTTCCTTCATTTTAAACCACTGAACTGCATTTACAAACACATCCATATTTCCCCATGCCCTCCACCCCTGAAAAGAAAGTAGTATATCTATATTTAGGATGCATCACCAAATTGGCAGGAAATGTAATTCCTCTACTACTGTGCCTTGAATGTTCTCTTTGGAGGAGCCATGGTGGTG